CATGAAACTGGGTAATGCCAGAATCATGTATGTTTCCGTGAGCGGAAACTATGATTTTTTGTTTCCGGCAGTTTCCATAAAGCAACTGGAAACCATCATTGATGGTTTCTACTAGTGAGAACTTGAATGAAACGATCGTAGAAAACTAAATTTGACTCCATATGCATATATCCAGAAACCTACATTAACCTACGTTAAACTGCCTACGCAGAGGCCCAGATAACTTGCGTATCCGGGTAAAATACGCATAGAATTACGCATTGAAAAATAATTTTGTTGCGTACCAATTACGCATTTAAAATATTAGATACGCAGAAAGTTTAAAACTAATGCGTACGGAATATATTTATAAAAATTGCTTGCGTAATGAAAAAGACATCGATTGCTATCAAATTGTACTGTTAGTATAGGACAAGTGTTGTACTGTCAGTATAGGATGAGTGATTTTTTATGAAATCATTTCCATTATATACTCTCCCAAAAAAGGAACAGGTTGAGAGAGGCTGGTTTACGTGCCAGAAGACCTTATTTTTGCCCTGTGCTTCGACAACAACATCGTCGACATCGAGTTCAATGGTGCACCAACGTTCAGGCCTGGAACCTACCGAATTGGCGTAGAATCTGGTTCAGTGATGAATCACGATTTCTATTGGAACGACGCGATGGAAGAATGCGGGTGTACAGACGTCGACGTGAACGTTTCGCCGACGCTTGCGTTCCCCAGGTGGTCAGATTCGGTCTGGGCAGTGTTATGATGTGGGGAGCGATCACCTGCCGTAGGAGAAGTGATTTGGTGATGATCCAGGGCAACCTGACAGCTCAACGGTACAGTGACGAAATCCTACGCCTACACCTCCTTCCAATCATTGATCGCCAGAGGGAGTTGTTTCAATAGGACAATGCCAGGCCCCACACAGCACCTCACACTAGAGACTTCCTCCAGAACCACAACATCAATGTGCTCCCTGGCCCTCAAGATCACCGGACTTAAACCCGATCGAACATCTGTGGGATGCCCTGGACAGACGGGTGCGACGCCATAACCATCAGCCCCAGACACTTCAGCAACTCGCACAGGCACTACAGGCAGAGCGGGCTGCGATTGGGCAACACGAGATTCTGAAACTTATTCGTTCGGTGCCGAGGCGATGCCGTGCAGTTCTGGATGCCCACGGTGGTCACACGAGTTATTGACTTCAGCGCCACCACACGTCTCCATGTGACACTCAAACTGACTTTCCTCGAGTTGGTGCTAAAGACGGATAAGCCTGCATTCCCAGTGTGCAATTTCGCTATATTTCATTGACTCAAAAAGCCTACAAGATGTTTCAAAATATACATAAAAATACAGTTGAAATTCCTATATGCGAATCTTTTTTGGGAGAGTATATTTAAGTTGGTTTTGATTAGGTATGACATAAGGCTGAACATACCTGCTTAGTAAAATTACTCAATGGCATATACTTAGGTGAGTAAAATGACTGAAATACGCACATATTTGAAAGCAGTGGGTAACGGAAAATGAAATACCCACTCAACATTCATAATACCCAATCCAAAAAAATACAGTGGGTACAGTACCCACATGAGCTAAATCTTATTTGGAGCTCTGACTGGTATGGTACGGCATATCATATGGTATGGCATATGGTACGGTATGACATGATATGGTATGGCTAATGGTACGGTATGATATATGATATGCTATGATATGGCATATGGTATGGTACGGCATATGATATGGTATGGTATGGCATATGATATGGCATGGTATGACATATGGTATGGCATATGATATTGTGTGACATATGTGATATGGTTTTATGCATATGGTATGGTATGACATATGATATGGTATGGTATATGGCATTGTACATGGTATATGTATATGGTACGGGCATATGATATGGTATGGCATATGATATGGTATGGTAGTGTAGGGTATGACATGATATGGTATGGCATATGATATCGTGTGACATATGGTATGGTAGTGCATATGGTATGGTAAGACATTGCATATGGTATGGTACGACATATGATATGGTATGGCATATGGTATGGTATGGTATGACATATGATATGGTATGGCATTGCATATTGTATGGGAAAATGGTACGGCATAGCATATGTTATGGGATATGATATGGTACGTTATGGCATATGATATGATATGGCATGGAATGGTATGGCATATCGTATGATATGGTAGATGTATATATGGTATATGGTATGGCATGGCACATGATATAGTATGGCATATCATATGGTATGATATGGTATGGCAATGGTATGGTAAAGGTCAGGTATGACATGTGATATGGTATGGTATATATTATGGTAGATAGATGGTATGGTATGGCATATGATATTGTATATGTTATCTGGTATGGTATGGTATGGACGCATGTATGGTATTTTGTTTTTTTATTAGGTTAGTGAAGGGACCCTTAGCAGATTGAAAGAACTGCAAGAAATCAGGTGAGGTCCTTATAAAATCAGACAAATCTTCATCGAAAATGGTGGTTAAACATTTGAAGACCAATCCCCCTTCTCAGTATGAAGTGGGGGAGATTGTCCTTGTTCGTAATCTAGGCAAGGACAAAGGAGTAACCAGGGGTGGGCAGAAGATCACCTCTCCAAAAGCTGTTGAGGGCGAGATTTTGCAAGTAGACAACAAGCACCACAAATACAAGGTGCGGATTGGGAAAAAAGTGTCATGGCGATCTGTTTGCCAAATTACAGCATTAACAAGGGAAAAGGAAGGAGAAAAGAGAAGGCAAAGTAGACATACAGGTACAGTCTGTTAAGGTCATATGTTCAAGGACTGCTAATGTACGTGTCACCATATGCTTTAAACATGTTATTAAGTAATTAGCACATAAATACAATAGGTTGCTCACTTTAAAAATAACCTCAATGCTCCAGAAATTAATTTTGCTGACATTTCAGCATTTCACAAACTTTTTGTTTACTTTAATATGTACATAGATGCTCAGTCATTCTGACCAAATATGCTTTTTGGACTATATAGGATAATCTGTTATGTTAACTGGAAGCATACAGTTACTACAATCCTTGTTTGAGTTTCCACATGTATGTTATCACTTACATAAATACATATGTGTGAGTTACAAATGTTTGCAGCATCAGCATTACTTCAGCCACATGGTGACGAGACTAAGTTAACACATACACAAAATCACACTCATATACCAATATTAACATCACAATATTATATATTTACAATTTAGAACACTGGCTATCAGTTTCCTTCAAGTACCTTATTATTAGATGACAGCTCACACCGGTAAACAGAATGAACTTACATTATTTGATGCGTGTCTGAACACAGGTAAAGGAAGCAAATCCAACATTTACCACTATAAGTTGCAAGCAAGAGAGGAAGGAAAATCTGAAGAATGTTTGTTTGCCCATGTGCTTCCGTCTAATTACCAGTTCTGAAATTTGGCATATATTTTCAGATATCTATATGAATGTCATGGCACTACAAAAACAAATGATGACCCCAACAGCACTATCCTATGACCATCTTCTCCAGAAATTAGAAGACTTGGCAAGGGGAAGGGGCCGTGTTGTAAAACACCACTCAGGTGGGGGAAACTGCATGTTTCTGTCCCTGAGTGACCAGATCTATCATGTCTTTAACTTGGAAATGAATGCTCTGGAGGTGAGGGAGAACATTGTGAAGCATCTAAGGACACACCCAAATACAGTAAGCCCGCATGGAAACTTGTTTCTGTTGAAAACAAATAAGATTATTACATCATTATATACACAATGGTTTTGTATGACATGTTACTTTACCTTGAAAGTAAGTTTAGTTTAACATCATGATAATGTCATGTTATGACCTGGGGACACTAGACATGGGCTTCACCCATTTACCAATGATAATAACAGAATCTAGATTTGAGGCTTGTAGATATGAATGCTTTAAACACTATGCTGCCCAACTACACTATAGTATTAAACCGACTCAATTACAACATTAACAAGCTTTTTCCTCTGAACTGTGCACTGACTAAAGTTATTCTGCCTGATATGTAAGATATTCTATGTATGGAGTTAAATTTCATCTAATGTACAATATATTTTGATTCAGTTCCAGAAAGTAGCAATATTCATCTTACAGAAACTAGGCAGGTTTCAAAGGCATTCTTTGAGAAAGAGGTAAGTGTTAAATAAGAATATATTTATATTATATTTATATTATAATGTTTTAGCATATGAAAGAAACTGACAGTAAGTGAGTCTCACATTGTCCACAGTTTAGATGGTGCATTTCAACAGAGAGTTCATTATTATTTCTCTAGGAGGACAATCTTGCCACATATCTACAGAATCTGATTCAGGGAAACTTCAGGTAAGAAAATGTAATGTAATCTGTGTAGCCTGTTCCTATATCCTTGTTCCATGTGTTTTCTGCATTGATGTGTAGTTAAACCTACTAACTACTAACACTGCACACAGCACTCAACACACTGCACGCAACACACAGCACATAACACACAGCACACTACACGCATCACACAACACGCAGCACCCAACACACAAGACACAGCACCCAAGACACAGCACACTGCACACAGCATATAACACAACACACAGCACTCAACATACAGCACACAACACGCAGCACACAACACGCAGCAGACAACACGCAGCACACTCCCCACTGCCCACAGCACACAGCACGCAGGAGAACATACAACACACTGCACACTGCACACAGCACACAACACACTACACGCAGCACATAGCACACTATATCCCGTGTGCAAAACAGCTATAGTCATTCCCATCGTAAAGATGTTTCAGTGTTGAAAGTTGCTGCTCCCTTTAGCTGAAGGTTTATGTTTAAATCGTGTAGGTCCGTTAGTCGCCCCTGAATACAAGCATGGGGTGCTGAAGACCAGTTCTAACCCGGATGTTTACGGGTCTGATTATTTTAAGAGACAACATGATGGATTGCATGAACTTTGAAAAACTTTATTCCAATGACTTTGCCCAGAAATCGAGTGTCGTTTCAGCGTACACCAGTGCAATCATTTTCGAACGTACTGGTGGGAGTCTGGGACATCGGAAAAGATGTTTATTCTGAAATCAAATAAACGGATTTTAAAGAAATTGTCCTGAAGATATCTCATTGTGTTGTGATGCACTATTTTCACGTGGACATAACAAAGCGCACAATTTTGATGTTTACGTCATTGTTGGGGTCACAATACAGTGATTGTTAGCTCATAAAACACGCTGTAGCTTACTGTAGCTTACATCATACACAGTAAACCACGGTTTGCTGAAAATTTGTAGATGGAATCATTCATTGAGAATCTGATGAAATGTGTTATAAGCCCATTTTTGGTGTTCCCCGTCCTGCTATTGCTTTACTATTGCTAAAGCGGCGTAAAACTAAGCTCGCTCACTCACTCACTACGAGGGGCGGTGGGGTAGCCTAATGGTTAAAGCGTCCGCTCGTCACATTGAAGACCCGGGTTCGAGTTCCCACATGGGTACAATATGTGAAGCCTATTTCTGGTGTCCCCCGCCGTGATATTGCTGGAATATTGCTAAAGCGACGTAAAACTAAGCTCGCTCACTCACTCACTCACTACGGCATTTAAGGGTGTTCCATTAAAAGAGTGCTCACTGCTGTTTGCGCACGCCTGGGAGAGTCTCCATTCGGCGTCGTGCATGATGTAAAGTTGCCTTATCCATGGACAGGAATCATCATATATGTTCAGACAGTTCTTGTAGGTCATCGCATTGCTGGAGAGAAAAACATCGCATTAAACATCGAATCCATTAAAGTGATCACATAGGTTTGTGAAAAGTCCTTTAATTCTGGAGTCTGTCTTGAAAAGGCCGTCAAAATATGAAGAAAATGCCTTCATAAGACCAGATTTATTAATATTGACGAAAATCCCATTTAGGGTTTTATAGAAAATCACGTCTACAAATTTTGGAAACAGCAAAAAACAATGACATCTCTACTTCGAAGTAAACGAATTAGTTTAATAGCCAGTAGCTGAAGGCAAACATCGAATTTGTCGACAGAACAGAACTTTTATTACGCTCAGACCGGGATACTTGGGTGCTTCTGCATAAGAGGTACAAATATACCGTTATGAGGACACAGGATGGCGATATGGTTTACAAGGAAGATTGTACAGTGTTACATGACGGTATTACAGAACATATATAGTTCTTTTAAAATACTAGGGCGGTGGGGTAGCCCAGTCAATACAGCGTTCGCCCGTCACGCCGAAGGCCCGGGGTTCGATTCCCCATATAAGTACAATGTGCGAAGAACATTCCTGGTGACCCCTCCGTTATATTGTCGGAATGTTGCTAAAGCTGCGTAAAACTAAACTCACAAAAAAATAATGTATTTGGTTAATTACCTGCAATCATCACTTCCAGCCTGGCCAAAGTTCCCAGTATACATATTCATGAAGTCTGTCGCACAAGGGAAGGCAACGGTGCAGGCTTTCCATGCTGGTAATAGAGGCAAATATATCACAAGAGATGTAAATCCTAACTCATCAATTCTCTAACAAGGTGCCTTTGTATAAAACAACCTTAGCGCTAAGACTATCGTAGTCCGTGCTAATGTATGGCAAAGATACAGGTTAGAACTGGTCTTCAGCAACCCATGCTTGTCGTAAGAGGCGACTAACGGGATCGGGTGGTCAGGCTCGCTGACTTGGTTGACACATGTCATCGTTTCCCATTTGCGTAGATCGATGCTCATGCTGTTGAATCCTGGTTTGCCTGGTCCAGACTCGATTATTTACATACCGCCGCCATATAGCTGAAATACTGCTGAGTTCGGCGTTAAATAACAAGCAGCCAGCTAATGTTTAGCAATTACGGCATCAAATACGTGTCGAAATCTAATGTACAGTACAACCAGAAATTATTGAGAATTTAAAGATTGTAATTTTTTTATTTTTTCACTCATTACTCACGTGTTAAATGTGAATATTAGCAGAACATAACTCCAGATTCAAAGACAGGTGAACAGTTAGTATTTTGTCAAGTCACCATAGGCAGCAATGCAGGCTTCAATGTGGCGGGGCATACTACTGATCAAAGAAGTTAGAAAGTCGTGGTCCATGCTGTCCCAATATCGGACCAACTCTTCTTTCATTACAGCAATATTTGTCAGATTTTTCTTATTGACACTTTCCTTCATAAGTCCCCAAACATTTTCTATTGGATTTAGGTCAGGGCTATATTTTGGGTCCGAAACCAGGCCTGTGAATGCTTTAAACGATGTTTTGAGTCGTTGTCCTGCTGGAAAATCCAAAAGTTTCCATAGAACACGTGAGCAGATGGAAGTAAATGTCCCTCGAGAATATCTGTGTACCGCTCATTGTTCATATTCCCTTCAAATACACAGAGGGGCGTTGCCCCTAACACAGATATGCTACCCCACACGTTAAATTTCGGACTGTACTTTGGGCGCTGATACAAAGGTTTTTCAGTTTGTTTGGTCCAGAATTTCAGTGTATTAGGAAACAGACAGATAGAACTTTCATCTGAGAAAATCACATTGTCCCAGTTAAAATTTCTATGCTGTAAGCACCAATTCAACCTTCGCTCCTTTTGTTCAGGTTTCATGATCGGTGATGGAATTCCTCGACTTTTCTGCCGACCCATTGCATGCAGCTCAGTTCTAATTGTCTCCTTACAGACAACCACATTTCCTCTATCAATCATATCCAGCCTTAAGTTTTCTAAACTCCTACGTTTGTTTTTAGAAACAAGAATACCAAGCCGCCTCCTGTCACCGACAGTCAATTTTCTGGGCCTACCTGCGCCTGACTGGTGCTCAATGCCATATCCATTTGCAATATTTTTCAAAACACGATAAACATTGGACAAAGTGATGCCTGTTCTACTTGAAATCACTTTAGCTGATCTGATGTCCTTGTTATAATACTCTAAAATCAACTTCCTCTTCTCTAAATCATCCATACTGAGGATCACTAAAAATGTCGTCTGCTAGCAAGTAAACAAAGTGGGATAACTCTTCACAAACTCATGAAAAGGATTAACGGAGTTGTCTCTCTTGAATGAAACCAAGCACTTGATAGCTGGTCATGGTTGTTTAATACTAAAAATTCAATTAAACATATTCCTAAAATTCTCAATATTTTCTGGTCATACTATATATATCGTGGTTATATATGTCATCCATTGCTCTCTGAACCAAAAATCACAGCCTGCTAATTCCTTTATGGCATATTCCTTCGCTCAGAAAACAGTTCATCAGATTATTGAAAAAATAACTGAACCTGTAATGATAACAATAACGAATGTGAATTATTTGATTATATCACTGTGTTATCACTGATATATCACAGATATGTCGCTTTCGAATCAATCAACCCGCACTGAAAGGTTTCACTTCTGGTTATCTAATTTGCATATCTAATTTGCATAATTATCAATTGCGATAGAAAATACATGTTTTTATTTCATAAGGTTAGGTCACTTAAATGCTAAATGCATTCAAATAATCAGGCACTACCGGAATGCATATAAAAATCAACCAGCACCGACACCATTAAGAAGCGAAGTGTACGTACGATAATTGCAAAGATAATATTTCCCACGCCTCAGCCAGTAAACGGATAAGGAATTGACTGCAGGACACAGGTCAACAACTGCATCTAAGCAGTCGATGTAGCTAGAGAAGTAACTGTAACAGAAAGAGAGTGAGTGAGTGAGTTTAGTTTTACGCCACACTCAGCAATATTCCAGCTATATGGCGGCGGTCTGTAAATAATCGAGTCTGGACCAGACAATCCAGTGATTAACAGCATCAGCATCGATCTGCGCAATTAGGAACCGATGACATGTGCCAACCAAGTCAGCGAGCCTGACCGCCTGATCCCGTTAGTCGCCTCTTACGACAAGCATGGGTTACTGCCAATATTCACAGAAAGAAGCATAAATGAATTGTTTCGTCTTCTCGAAGCGTGGTTGCTGGATGTTTGCCAATAGTCCATCAAAAATATACAATCTCTGAGTATGTTCTTACGCCGCTTTAAGCGATATTTCTGATACATCACGGCGGGGGATACCTTATACTGGCTTGACAGGCTGTACTCGTGTTGGAGAATCGAACCTGGTTTTACTCTTAATGTGTTATAACCACTATGCTAACCATTATCTGTGATCCTTTAAGTGATGTCTGTCGCGCGTCACATTATTACAGTTGCTACGGTATAGGGGCGGTGGGGTAGTCTAGTGGTTAAAGCGTTGGCTCGTCACGCCGAAGACCCAGGTTCGAATCCCCACATGGGTACAACGTGTGAAGCCCATTTCTGGTGTCCCCCGCCGTGATGTAACTGGAATATTGCGAAAAGCAATGTAAAGCCAAACTCAGTCAGTCAGTCAGTGCTACGGTATACTTTAAACAGCGCTGAGTGTTAAACAGTGCAGGCTGTGCCCTTAAACAGTGCTGGGTGTGACGTTAAACAGTGCTGAGTGTGCAGGTACACAGTGCTGGGTGTGCCGTTATACAGTGCTAGGTTTGACGTCATACAGTGCTGGGTGTGACGTCATACAGTGCTGGGTGTGTCGTGTGACGTTATACAGTGCTGGGTGTGCTCGTTATACAGTGCTGGGTGTGACGTTATACAGTGCTGGGTGTGACGTCATACAGTGCTGGGTGTGACGTCATACATTGCTGGGTGTGCCGTCATACAGTGCTGGGTGTGACGTCATACAGTGCTGGGTGTGACGTCATACAGTGCTGGGTGTGACGTGTGACGTTATACAGTGCTGGGTGTGCCGTCATACAGTGCTGGGTGTGCCGTCATTCAGTGCTGGGTGTGACGTCATACAGTGCTGGGTGTGACGTCATACAGTGCTGGGTGTGACGTCATACAGTGCTGGGTGTGACGTGTGACGTTATACAGTGCTGGGTGTGCCGTTATACAGTGCTGGGTGTGACGTCATACATTGCTGGGTGTGCCGTCATACATTGCTTGGTTTGCCGTTATACAGTGCTGGGTGTGCCGTTATACAGTGCTAGGTTTGCCGTCATACAGTGCTGGGTGTGCCGATATACAGTGCTAGGTGTGACGTTATACAGTGCTAGGTGTGCCGATATACAGTGCTGGGTGTGACGTGTGACGTTATACAGTGCTAGGTTTGCCGTTATACAGTGGTGGGTGTGCCGTTACACAGTGCTCGGTGTGCCGTTGTACAGTGCTGGGTGTGACGTGTGACGTTATACAGTGCTCGGTGTGACGTTATACAGTGGTGGGTGTGCCGTTACACAGTGCTGGGTGTGACGTGTGACGTTACACAGTGCTGGGTGTGCCGTTACACAGTGCTCGGTGTGCCGTTGTACAGTGCTGGGTGTGACGTGTGACGTTATACAGCGCTCGGTGTGACGTTATACAGTGGTGGGTGTGCCGTTACACAGTGCTGGGTGTGCCGTTACACAGTGCTGGGTGTGACGTTATACAGTGCTGGGTGTGCCGTTACACAGTGCTGGGTGTGCCGTTATACAGTGCTGGGTGTGACGTTATACAGTGCTGGGTGTGACGTCATACAGTGCTAGGTTTGACGTGTGACGTTATACAGTGCTTGGTGTGCCGTTATACAGTGCTGGGTGTGCCGTTATACAGTGCTGGGTGTGCCGATATACAGTGCTGGGTGTGCCGTTATACAGTGCTGGGTGTGACGTTATACTTTTAACCCCTTGATGCCGAGGTTTTTTTCAGGCGCACATTTTCATACGGTTTGAAAAGTGAACGTTGTGCGAGATTTACGCTCACGTCGTCCTGGATCTACGTACGGCTATAAAATTACACAGAAATGTAGAATATTAAATTTCCTATCCGTTGGTATAAATGTAAGTGCAACTACCTCGGCGGTTTGAGAAATAGACACTGCTAAATGTTGTCCAAATTTTTGTTATGCATTAAAAAACAGTAAATTTCTCCGCTTTTTATCGCGCACGGATAAAAGCACTGTGCTACGAATTTTTTATTTTCGCATCTTTACGGAAAGTGTGAGCGAAGAAAATACAGCCTGATATCTGAACGACATAAGTGTATATGAAATGGATTTATGTGCTTATGCATAACATTATACGCTCAACATTAAAAATGACTCGCAATAAATGTCAAAAATGGATTTTCTTCTACGACGTCAAACGACGACAGAGAGGTCATACACGTATAATGATAAGGGGGCATAACTCCGTTATGCTTAACACTAGGTCAATGTAACTCAGATCACATGGAGAGTATTTTTTGTGGATACGGACGCTATATTTTCGTTATTTTTTGTTCACGGTGAACTAAACTATTTCAATTCAAAGTTCTCCAATGTGAGCAGATACGCTTTGGTAGTTTCACAATTTATAAGAAAAGATGACAACGTACTACATGTGAAAGCACGTAATAGCGATTTGGATGGCCCTATCCGATATATAAGTTAGTTCTTAGATTCCCATATTCTCCTGTTTGTGTAGATGTATTTTGACTAGTTTTGCATCGTTATTACCAGAATACTAGCCATATCTTCAAATGTAATGAAATTGCTGAAAATAATACAACATTTTAGTTGACGTCATTGCTTGTTTTATGCATATTGCGACGTCGGAAAAAGACGACATTGGTATGCTGATTAGTATATATCTCACTTAATTTCCATTAATTGTGTGAAAGGTCTCGGCTCCTTTGTCAGAATTAACACTCTTTAGACAAAACATAAAATGACTGTTTTTTCCATTTTAAATAGTGTCCTGAATATATCAACAATTAGACAGTTTGACTGTGTATCTTATCATGAGCAACACGCGCACCTGTTTGGCATCAATTTAACGTAAATGAAAAATAACATTTTACAACACCTGAATATTTTGTTTAGGATAGGAATTTTATTTATTTATGATTATGTAGCTATTTCTCTTCATACGTATGCAATGGAAGATGCAAAAAAGATAGCTTTTTATATATGGAACTAGTACGTACTATATATTAGGATATGGATGTAAGATTTGTCCAAATTAAGACATGGCATGCTTTATACATTTTTAAACAATTTTCGTATAAATATAGTTAGAGTTTGATATCCTGTCATCACAATATTTTTAAATCGAATATGAATTGATTATATTATCGAAAACAATGATAGTGAATCATAAAACGTTTCCGACAAACGCGCACCTGGCCAATCAATTTACATCATTGTTTTCTCTATAAAACGACACAAAAATGTGCAATGAACAAGACAATTCCTTTAAATGTGTTTGCATATACATTTCATAACATACATAAATCATTTTCATTAAATATTATCAGTTTTACTTATAAGGTTTAATCAAATCGCCGTTCATTAACCTGTTCATGTGAAACTGCAATATTAGCATTGAATATTGTACATCATAGGAACTAAAGTAATTGCAGTTATGGCTACGTTTGATCTTCTAACACTTGTGTAAAGGTTTAGAATATGGTGTACTGCACTAAATGTGTCAATTTCTTATGTAAATATTATTCAAACAATCAAAAACTTTCAAAGAATAAAACACCGTAAGCCCTATATGCACGTATGATATGATATTGGACAAGGCTAAATGTAGATACTGAGGTCAGTTTCATGAAAAAGTATCTGAACTATCCGCAAAATATACATCATAATACTGACAGTGTAATCGGAAGGATTGGGCGATTGTGTTTACTCTTGTTCAACCGACCTTCACCTCAAAGAAATTGCCTAATATGTACAACAATGTTGACGTATGACATCACTACCGATGACCTATTTCTTACAAAATGGCGGCTTTGCTGACAAGGATACACAGGATTTTGCGAGGACCCTTCCATTGATTCAGGGATCGTTTGTACATAAATATGACATGTAAGTAATCAGAATGATTCTGACTAACTGTGTATTGTTATATGTTTCTATCGTTTTCACTGTAAGTAAGAGAAGAAGCCAGAAATGCTGATAATTACAGTTGTCGTTCTGCGTGATTTTGCGTAAGTCATGGCGTTACGCTGAACGGAAACTTTGACAATTTCTTATGAATTATCAAATCATTGCATTGTATCTATTTATAATTTCCTATTTCTTACTACGATACTCTTTCCATGCATATTCAAAAGGTATTGAGCCATTGCAAGCTATGAATAGACGGATGAATGTTGGAAAATTTCAGAAAATGCTACGCAGTGTAAAATCGGAATTTGTCTTTGTTTACATTTCGAACCAGCACAGTCTTTCAAGCACAGCGTTCGTTTTCACACCCAATATGTTTCGTCTCATTTTATCTAGACAGTTGGTATTGGTGACACAGACCAGTTGCAATGGGATTCTAAAATGTATGGGGAATTCAGTGATGCATTTTTCGAAGCTGAATATGAAATATACGTGATGTAATAGGCGTCTCAATACCGGCCTTTGCGAAACGTGATTTTGTGAACACTATCCAATATGGCGGAAAGCGCTCTACGGCGTTCGTGTAAGTGCATTTTCGAAAACATCCCAACCGATTATAGATTCATCGGCAACGTTTCAGAATTATAATTAGCGATTTCATGTAAAACTGATATCAGTGATCACGAATATGTTATTCTTTAAATTCAGTACTCCCAGGAATTATCCGATTTTCACATTTCAAAACATACAGCAAATAACGCTGTGAATCGCGATTTCGTACTGTGTCAAAAATGGCGACATTTTCGATGAAGCCTATTTTGGAAGGTCATTTTCAGCACTTGAGCTTTGTCTAAAATAATAGTGGATGGTATCAAGAAACAGGAAATTTCCCGCAGAATTCGAAACTGTGAAGTGCATTTGTGTGCGTGGGATATTTTGATTTTTATTGGACTTGACATTAAGGGTTGATGGCGAAGGACATATATGTCCCTGTGATACAGTGCTAGGTTTGCCGTTATACAGAGCTGAGTGTGACGTTAAACAGTGCTGGGTGTGACGTTATACAGTGCTGAGTGTGACGTTATACAGTGCTGGGTGTGACGTCATATAGTGCTAGGTTTGCCGTTATACAGTGCTGGGTGTGTTGTTATACAGTGCTGGGTGTGACGTTGAACAGTGCTGAGTGTGACGTTATACAGTGCTGGGTGTGACGTTATACATTGCTGGGTGTGACGTTGAACAGTGCTGAGTGTGACGTTATACAGTGCTGGTTGTGACGTTATACATTGCTGGGTGTGACGTTATGCAGTGCTGGGTGTGACGTTATACAGTGCTGGGTTTGACGTTATACAGTGCTGAGTGTGACGTCATATAGTGCTAGGTTTGCCGTTATACAGTGCTGGGTGTGTTGTTATACAGTGCTGGGTGTGACGTTATACAGTGCTGAGTGTGACGTTATACAGTGCTAGGTTTGCCGTTATACAGTGCTGAGTGTGACGTCATATAGTGCTAGGTTTGCCGTTATACAGTGCTGGGTGTGACGTTGAACAGTGCTGAGTGTGACGTTATACAGTGCTGGGTGTGACGTTATACATTGCTGGGTGTGACGTTATACAGTGCTGGGTGTGACGTTGAACAGTGCTGAGTGTGACGTTATACAGTGGTGGGTGTGACGTTATACATTGCTGGGTGTGACGTTATACAGTGCTGGGTGTGACGTTATACAGTGCTGGGTTTGCCGTTGTACAGTGCTGGGTGTGACGTTATACAGTGCTGGGTGTGACGTTATACAGTGCTGGGTGTGACGTTATACAGTGCTAGGTTTGCCGTTATACAGTGCTGAGTGTGACGTCATATAGTGCTAGGTTTGCCGTTATACAGTGCTGGGTGTGTTGTTATACAGTGCTGGGTGTGACGTTGAACAGTGCTGAGTGTGACGTTATACAGTGCTGGGTGTGACGTTATACAGTGCTGGGTGTGACGTTATACAGTGCTAGGTTTGCCGTTATACAGTGCTGAGTGTGACGTCATATAGTGCTAGGTTTGCCGTTATACAGTGCTGGGTGTGTTGTTATACAGTGCTGGGTGTGACGTTGAACAGTGCTGAGTGTGACGTTATACAGTGCTAGGTTTGCCGTTATACAGTGCTAGGTTTGCCGTTATACAGTGCTGGGTGTGTTGTTATACAGTGCTGGGTGTGACGTTATACAGTGCTGAGTGTGACGTTATACAGTGCTAGGTTTGCCGTTATACAGTGCTTAGTGTGACGTCATATAGTGCTAGGTTTGCCGTTATACAGTGCTGGGTGTGACGTTGAACAGTGCTGAGTGTGACGTTATACAGTGCTGGGTGTGACGTTATACATTGCTGGGTGTGACGTTATACAGTGCTGGGTGTGACGTTGAACAGTGCTGAGTGTGACGTTATACAGTGCTGGGTGTGACGTTATACATTGCTGGGTGTGACGTTATACAGTGCTGGGTGTGACGTTATACAGTGCTGGGTTTGCCGTTGTACAGTGCTGGGTGTGACGTTATACAGTGCTGAGTGTGACGTTATACAGTGCTGGGTGTGACGTTATACAGTGCTGGGTGTGACGTTATACAGTGCTAGGTTTGCCGTTATACAGTGCTGAGTGTGACGTCATATAGTGCTAGGTTTGCCGTTATACAGTGCTGGGTGTGTTGTTATACAGTGCTGGGTGTGACGTTGAACAGTGCTGAGTGTGACGTTATACAGTGCTGGGTGTGACGTTATACAGTGCTAGGTTTGCCGTTATACAGTGCTGAGTGTGACGTCATATAGTGCTAGGTTTGCCGTTATACAGTGCTGGGTGTGTTGTTATACAGTGCTGGGTGTGACGTTGAACAGTGCTGAGTGTGACGTTATACAGTGCTAGGTTTGCCGTTATACAGTGCTAGGTTTGCCGTTATACAGTGCTGGGTGTGACGTTATACAGTGCTGAGTGTGACGTTAAACAGTGCTGAGTGTGACGTTATACAGTGCTGGGTGTGACGTCATATAGTGCTAGGTTTGCCGTTATACAGTGCTGGGTGTGTTGTTATACAGTGCTTGGTGTGACGTTGAACAGTGCTGAGTGTGACGTTATACAGTGCTAGGTTTGCCGTTATACAGTGCTAGGTTTGCCGTTATACAGTGCTGGGTGTGACGTTATACAGTGCTGAGTGTGACGTTAAACAGTGCTGAGTGTGACGTTATACAGTGCTGGGTGTGACGTCATATAGTGCTAGGTTTGCCGTTATACAGTGCTGGGTGTGTTGTTATACAGTGCTGGGTGTGACGTTGAACAGTGCTGAGTGTGACGTTATACAGTGCTGGGTGTGACGTTATACATTGCTGGGTGTGTTGTTATACAGTGCTGAGTGTGACGTTTAACAGTGCTGAGTGTGACGTTAAACAGTGCTGGGTGTGTTGTTATACAGTGCTGAGTGTGTCCTTTAAGAATATACGAAATTGGGGTATAAATAGTCACTTTTACCTCAGTTCAAGTTTCATTATATTTGTGATTTTTTCTTTAACTTACCCACACTCCTGATCCGCAGTAGAAGTCGAATTGTCAACGAATAAGGCCGCAAAGGTCTCCCCGCACTGGACAGCCGTTTGGCAGGAATCACTTGAGTCGGAAGCTTCAGGTAGACATCAGAAAACAATGATTAGGATTAGCACAATTTGGACGATTCAAAGTTTAAAATGATGGAGCCTTTCAATATTTATGTTTATTAAATAAAATTAATAAAAGTTTAGTTTACAAACCTGCTTCCCGCCTCAGTCTGTTCATACTTCTTCCCAACTGTCACAAAGAACAAAGAGGTAACTCTTAATAACACTTGGAGTACACAATTGCAATTTCGTTGCTAAACAACAAGAAATATATGCCGATACAGATTGACATATTATTTAATATGAATGCTTAACTTTTGGAACTACAAATAAACTATGTGACTCTTATGAACACCTTGACTCCATTATCGTATGAGTGAGTGAGTCTGGTTCTGCGCCGCTTTTAACAATATCCCAGTAATATCCCAGAAATGGGCTTCACACATTGTATCCATGTGGGGAATCGAACCCGGGTCCTTGGCGTGACGAGCAAACGCTTTAACCACTAGGCTACCCAACCACCCCTGATTGTCGTACGAACAATTGTAAATTGTGGTATTAACTTATAAAAACAGAAGCGACAAAACCCCTTATTCGTCCATAAGATATATCTGCTAAAAGCAGAGTCGATTGTACAATTGTGACTTTATCATGAGTGTATACTTGTTTCATCAGTGTTACAGCTGTACGATGTTGTTTGAAAACTAATCGAGTCTGGACCAGGAAATCCAGTGATTGTCGCCATGTGATACGATGACAGAGCATGTGTTTATGAATCACTGTGAAATAGTGATGATACCTGAGGCGTGTTCAGAACCGCGAGCGCCCGCGCCGGCCCTGAACGGACGCGAGCGCTTGGTTACAATAAACCATTCGTGACCAACTCGTGTTGTTCCGGGACAAGCCGAATAGCTTCTGTATCATATTCTTAAGGGTGAAATACTGGAAATATTGGTGAAAATAAAAATGGTATTGTCATTTTCACTGAGTAGAATATCACTTTTGCCTTGAACTACGAAACGCGAACTACGAAATCGATGTCTAGATCATTTATAAACAATGATCAAAATATAATACATAGAATATTTCGTTAATGTTGTCAGTGGTTACGCAACTCGTGAACATATCAACGTTTTCAGACCACTCGATGACATATACATGTTATTTGACATTAACAAAATATCCTCCATGTCTTTTGGAGGTTACGGAAAAGGGGCGAGTGGTGACGAATGACATTAAACATGATCGCCATCTTGGTTCGCTTGGCGAGGCAGCTGTGAGAATGGTTCGCGTGCGCGCGCGGGCGCTCGAGAGGGCACTGGCGTTCAGGATCGAGCGCTCGCTAGCGTTCGCGGGCACTCGCGGTTCTGAACACGCCTCAGGTGTTCGAGCAAAGGTGAACGTATCCTGCCCCATTGGTGGCACCCGTCACTACAAAGACTAGTCAATTGTTCACCTGAAATAATTCAGGAACGTATGGTACAAGTCAAAATTGGGAATTGCATCGGACATCATTCTTATTTTTGTCACTGATGCATCAAATTTCGAAATATCCTTCACATTTCTACCATAAAACATTTTATCGATAACTTTATCCAACACATAAGTCATAATTCAATGTATATGTGACGGTGTTGGGGTAGCCCGATGGTTAAAGCGTTCGCTCGTCACGCCGAACACCGGGTTCGATTCTCCATATTGGTAGAATATGTGAAGCCCATTTCTTGAGTCACCCAGTCGTGATATTGTTGGAATGTTGCTAAAAGTGGTGTAAAGGCTCACTCATTCACTCTGTGTGACGCAACACCGTTCATTTTTAACCCAAGTGGGCACTGTCGTTCGATAACGAATGGCGTCCAAAAACCTACGACACAGAAAGTGAAAAACAGAAATATATGTAATATATTTAATGTACCTACCTCGGGCATCGCCCAAGCCTGGGTTATCACCGCGATGAGGATGGCAGTTTTCAGCATGACGAATTCTACAAGTCAAGTGTTCATGTCAACCTTACGTCGGTGTATCTTATATAGCAATGTAAAACGCTGACAACACATTAATAATTTAAAAACTTTAACTTCAATGTTAAACAAAACACTCTTTTATATAATCAATAATTTTATTCTGCATTAAAGTGGCATCGTCTAAAATGTCAGCAGCGATGTATCTGAACAAATACTAACTGCACTGAATGTGAGTCCTGCTGGTTGTGTACAGGTAAGTCGGAGAAATGATCAACATCACATCTGGATCAGACAGGCACGACTCGGGCATCTGTATACACGTTTGTTTGTCGAAAATAATCATCTGTACACACTACTCTAATAATATCAATCCACTGGGCGGGGCTTCACACAAACACTGTCGTTAAATATACAGAACGCTGAACATGCCATGACCTTTTTTCGTTTTTGTTTACAGGCACAATGTCATACATTTTCGACAATATTTTGGTTTATGTACTATCAACCAAAAAAAAAAGAAATGTATAGGCGTTTGTATTTTTAAAAATCTATTAATTACCTATTGTGTTCAAACAATCGTCAAAATATGTAACAAGAGTGTTGAAAACATGATTTTACACAATTGCACAAGTAAAAAATCGACTAAACCTGAAAATGTTCATTTAGATGAGATTTCTTACAAGGCTAAAGAAGGGCATCGCCACAACGCAACAGAAATCACCTTAAAGTTGAAATTGTGCAGCAAAGAGCATGCACTGTCTGGCTATAAAAATCCAGATTACTTTCGGTAATCGGCATTCGTTTTGAAGGAATTTCAAAGTCAAATCACAACGCCACGTCTTCACACTGCGATACGGAACATCGCCACTGAAAAAATGCACGCTGGAGATTCTTCTGTTGCCAGGCGTCTGAATGTTAGTCTGAGCACGATATCACGGCTTGCAGCTCGTTACAACCAAACAGGTATAACAAATACCGTCCAGGCAGACCTCGAGTAACCACTGCAGCCCAAGATCGGTACATCCGGGTACTACATTTGTGTGATCGTACTGCAACGGGTAAGAGCACAGCAGCCAGGGTGCCTGGACTTCGGAGGATATCCGGTCAAACTTTATAATGTACGGAACAGGTTGAGAGAGATTGGACTGAGAGCCAGGAGACCCGACGTCGGGACCGTGCTACGTCGTCACCATCTCTCCCAGCGTCTCCGTTATCTAAAACTATCCACTTTGTTGTATAGACATTTCCTTCTTCTAAACTGATGTAAAAATTCCAGACTTGCTTATTTACAGACCGCCACGATATAGCTGGAATACTGTTAAAGGAGGCTTTAACAACCAAGCAACCATTTAATTTGTAGAGTGGTGGGTTCATAACAAATCTATTTTTCAGGTCCATTGCTGTTAGAGTGAGTGAGTGAGTGAGTTTAGTTTTCCGCCGCACTTTGCAATATTCCAGCTATATGGCGAAGGTCTGTAAATAATCGAGTCTGGACCAGACAATCCAGTGATCAACAGCATGAGCATCGATCTGCGCAATTGGGAACCGATGACATGTGTCACCCTAGTCTGCGAGCCTGACTACCTGATCCCGTTAGTCGCCTCCTACAAGCATAGTCGCCTTTTGTGGCAAGCATGGGTTGCTGAAGACCTATTCTACCCCGGATCTTCACGGGTCTGCTGTTAGAGTGAGTGAATCGGGTTTACGCTGCATTTAGCCATATTCTAGCAATATCACAGCGGGGGAACACCAGAAATCGGCTTCACACATTGAACCCATGTGGGGAATCGAACCTGGAACTTCAGTGAGACGAGCAAACGCTTTAACCATCAGGTCATTGAGACCCAAGATAAGACACCGTTGTTCAAAGTTAAACCCTTTTTGCTGTATCTAAGGGTATCCATGGCACTGCTGACGATTTGAAGAACATTAAAAGATTACGTTCTGGTGCGCTGTTGATTGGGTGGGACAAACGGTAACAATCAACCAACCTTTTGAACACCGAAATTTTTTTGGCATTCCAGTCACCGTCACGGGCCACAAGACACTTAACACGAGCAAGGGAATCGTCAGAAATCGTGATTGATTGCTGGCTGACAAGTCGGAACTAGATATCGTCTCCGAGATGAAAGATCAAGGTGTACTCTGTGTCAAACGTGATCTACATGACAGAACTAGAAGACAAGGCCCTCCTCACCTCACCCGTCACACCAATATGCTGTTTCCGGAAAGTAGACGACACAGAAAGACCCCACCACCTTGCTTCAACGAGACCACAAAACCCTCCTGTAAGAACTTAGGGACAAAACAGGATAGGTTCGATTCTACACAAGCAGCTTACAGTTCCCCATCCTAGACCACCCTACGTCCGAGCCACCATCAAGGTCCACAAAGACCCCATCAAAGCCCGTTTCCTTGTCTGTTCCAGAAACACGGTCCATTACAATACCACCAAGCATCTCGACAGCCTTCTCGCCCCTCTAGGTAAATTAGCTAAATTCTTTATTTCGGACTCCAACGAATTCTGCAACAAGATCAGCACCATCACCCATCCAGGCAAAATAATGAGTTATGATGTGGTTGATCTATTCACCAATGTACCAAGAGACGAAGCCCTAGCCATCATTAGAAGAAAAGTTGAAGACATCCGCGCTAAACCTAAACACCCATCTCACAGTAGCAAGCATCATCCGCCTCATCCATTTCTGTATAAATTCAACATATTTCACCCGGTCTGATAAAATCTACCAACAAACCCATGGTCTACCTATGGGATCACCTCTCTCCCCCCATCATCACCGAGATCTACATGACAGAACCCGAAGACAAGACCCTCCTCACCTTACCCGCCACACCAATATGCTGGTTCTAGAAAGAAGACGACACTTTTGTCATAAGTATGCGACGTCCAAGTATAAAGACAACAAACTCCAACAACTGTCTACAGGAAACCAACCCGCACAGACCAATATCTTCACTTCTCATCTAATCACCCACTGTAAGTCAAAAGAGGTATAATCGCCACTCTAGCCAGAAGAGCAAAGAACATCAGCTTCACAACCCAAGGCCTTGAAGTCGAATTAGAACACCTTCGCCATGTCTTCATAAACCGTAATCAGTACCCAGATAATCTAGTCAACAGAACCATCAAGACCACCCTCAACCCAAAACACAAACCACCACGTCTACAATCATCCCCGTTCATCACCAGTATACCATATGTCGATACAACCAGCCATCATATCCGCAGATAACTAAAGAAGCAAGCCAACATAGATGCTGTGTTCCAGAGAGGAACATCAATTCAGCATATCCTAAAAGCCAACAGTAAACAAGCAACAAGCAACAAAGAAGACCCTTCAGGCGTTGTCTACTACATTCAATGCAAATGTGGAGACTCGTACATATTAACCCAAATACCGTTCATGTATATATTTCTCCTTGTGCATATGTTGTGTATCATTTGCTTGATAACGGTGTTAGGATCTACACAGAAACGTCGCAGCCACTGCAGTAAAGACTTTGTCTATCCATAAAAAGTGTTCCTCTTCTCAAACTTGCTCGACGATTCATCTTTGACTGGCAGTTACTATGCGATGTATTTATAAGGAAGCTTTATCAGGTGGCATTGACTGGAACCTGAGGGGGGTGGGGGTGACCGGCAATGCAGTTAATGCAATAATATTTGCTTTTTAAAATTAATGGTAATTATTTCAAAATAATTAAATTGAATTTTTTTCACACAAATCAGTATTGTGATTTTCAGGAATACATTGAATACTGAACATTTATAAAAAGAAATAAAGTTTTGACATACCATCAAAGTGCACTTCGGGCCTCAAATGACCCACTTGGTGGGATAAGGGTTAAAGGTGAAGATCCTCCGTTTTGCATCTCTTGTGATGAAAGAATCACGGTCAAACATGTCCTGCTAGATTTTGTTGATTTTCCGATCGCAAGGGATAAGTATTTCAATGTAAAAACGATGAAGGATCTTTTAATTATGTACACGCTCATTTATTCATTCAGTTTTGATAAATTGTTTCATTTTTATATGTATTGTAATTAGTATATGAATTTGAATTTGTGACGATGTTTAACTAACTTTGACTGTCAGTGGCATTACCTTCAAAGGGTATTGAAGTCAAGTAAAATGATTGTCCCCCTGAGAAGGTATGTAGGTCCCATTTCATTCAAAGTTGTTTTTCATATTACGCTTTTTAATCGTAGAATATGTGCTCTTTTAATGTTGGGCTAAACTGTAAATTGATACAATCGCCAACGACCCTGTTATATCTCTGTTATTGATTGCCCTTACTTTAATTGTCACTGTCGAATATGTTGGTGTAAGTTCCAGACCAGTGAGTTCAGAGTTGAACGCTGATAAGAATTCGTTCAGATGTGTATCAAATCAGCTCTCCGCATGCAGACAAGAATCAAATAAGGCCATAAGAGGCCCTGAATCGGCTTCTTCGCAAAAGTTAGTTTGGAAATAAAGATACATTGGGTTTTCTGTGTTAATTCACCATTACCATTACCATTTCCATAATACATAAAATATATTCTTACGACAGGTATAACATCCCATTTTTGCTAAAAGTTGCATGTCGCCAGCGACGGTGTATATATTTGTTGCGTCAAAAATAACACTAGTGATCGTAAATGTTATCTTTTCATGCATCATGTGGAAGATATCATGCTGAATTTTACTGTGAGGTAGTCATTTAACCTAATATTTGAGGGTATTAGTCAATTTGTAATGAAAATCCACTGTCGCCAATTCTTTTGAATTTTACGTTATGCTCCAAAAGAAAGAAAACAGCATCAAAAGAGAAAAAATATTCATCCAGTAACTTTAAGAAAGTAATCGCTCATTCTTTATTGAAGACAATGAACATGAAATCCATTTGTTGTAACAACTTGTTAAACTATAAATATGTTGGGAAGATACAATGAACATATACAGTATAGATAAGGGTGTATTTTACGTTACGACGTTATAAGACCTTAAACATAACCTGAGCACCTCTATATGATCATCTGGTAAGGAGTATGCAACCTAGTTCCTTTTCCCGTCTCCTATATTCGCAATACATCTTTATCATTTGTTTAACTTGCGTGGCTCATAATAATGACTGATGTATTTTACGTTACGTATTCTACGTTACGGTATTTTACGTTACAGTTCCATATATGGCTATTTATCATCACATAATTTGCATACAAATTTGATGGCGACATGAAAATATGTTGCGTCATTCATGCTGATTTCAATGTGCGTGCTGCTCATGATCTGAATCTCTGACGGGTTAAATCATCGGTATGTAAGTACTGAACGTTCAGCCTTATCATTCTTGTATATGTGTACAAGTCAAACTGTTAAACGTTTATCAATGCGCGTAATGAAGATATTCTAATGAGATGTATCATGTATAATCATGCTCGGAATTGAATAAAATACTGAAATTACCACATGGCTTTCGTAACGTAAAATACAGTTGCGTAACGTAAACTACAATTAGATTCTACTGGCGTTAAATAAACATAAATGCGTATATATCCAACGTTTGTTGCTAAACGTTTGTTAAAGATATGTAAATAATTTCTTTGTATTTGTGGTGTTCTGAAAATGACAAAAACTACAGCCGTTATGTTTGACAGTATTTTACGTTACGGTTCTATTAAATGTTTATTACCTTACAGTGATACATTTGATAACCACTATGGAGCAAATAAATATATTTCCAGGTCGCATACCTCCTTGATGTTGTCTATAAATATGGAAATGCCAGTGTAAGGCATTCAATATTACTTTAGATGAACTAGAGAACCTATTTCGAAATTCTTGTTTGAAGTTTCACCAATTGTCAATATAAGGATCAAATTCTATATAACATCTAATTACTCTTTTGATTTATTTGTGTTGAAATTAACTTTTTAGTTTGTTAAAGGATTTTAGCAAACAATTAAAACAAGTTGTACTATAGTTTTACATATATCTAACATTAAATTATTTTGTGTGACGTAAAATACACTAGAAAATACCCCCACTGCTAGTAACTGCCGTTTATTAACAAACCATAAGACATTGTATCCTATCATTCTGTACATAGGTCAAGTAAATAATACTTGTCGTTGTCATATCGAAGAAATTGTGTTCAGATAAAAAATATTCCCGATTTCCATGATCACAAAGTTACCCTGTCGGTGGTATAAGTCACAAGCACAGGCAAGTCAACAGGTGCCCTGTCGGTGGGACCAGTCACAAACCCATGCACAGGCAAGTCAACTGTTGCCCTGAAAAACTTACCAGTCCATTTGCGAATTGCACTGGACATATGATATGGTCATAATTGAGGAATCGACTCTGCTTTTAGCCGAGAATTCTTATGGATGTGGAAAGGGTGTTGTCGCTTCTATGTTTTGGAAATTCAGATGTGGAAATGTCATCCACACGTCTCACATAAAACCTTTGGAAAACTTTTCTGAGGCCATGTAATCTTTGTAGAACAACTTCTGAGCAAGTGACACCAGTGGATATGCCTTGTTCATGACTGATGGCCGTGTTTTTGTTTGGCACCAAAGAAACACTGCATGAGCACAACGGAATATCTTGTAGCAAGTACGGTTTGGTGGGGGTTCATTGTTGGCATAGGAGTGATTCTCACATGATTGTAAACCTGACCTTGTGGCGATCAGACAAAATCTGAATGGACATCGGTACATCACGGATATCCTAGACAGGGTTGTTGTCCCACATGTCGATGACCATCCTCTGAACACAAGGCCAGTCTTCACGGACGACAATGCTGGGTTAAGTCGTGCACGTGCGTTGGTGATTACGTCAAGACGCGGTAACAAGTCTACCTTGGCCAGACAGGAGTCTCAATCCCATAGAGCATGTTTGGGACATTATTGGTCGCAAAATACGCCAGAGAGATCCTCCAGTGCAAAATCTCGATGAATTGGAACAATCAATAGTGGAACACAATACCTCAACGAAACATTTAACATCTGATACAGTCAATGAAAATATTGTTTTAGGGTTGTTGGGGCAACATTAGTTATTACTGTGTTTCAATTCGCCCGACCAAATGTAATTTGGCCGCCGACCCGAAAATGAAAAAATGTTTTTCATTATTTCCGCCCAGACGAACTCAGGACCTCCCGACGACTAATTTTAAATGCTTTCTTTGTCAGTGCTGGGAGAAAGGATGTAGATAGAGGACAAATGAAACTACACAAGAATCTTAGCACCAGGTCCTTAATTTTACAGTTCATTTATTGATATGATACAGATGATCTTTTAATTATTCTTCGTCTTTTTTTTTAAACAGTGCGTTATTCAGACCTAGATCTTAGTGGGTGCGTTATTCAACGATTCGACAGTTTAGTGGCAGCGGCGTACATCTGGGATACATGGATGAGATCATATGGCCTCATGCGCAGCCCTTCACATCTCATGGTCGGATACAACATGTGTCATTGGGACATATTTCCTGATGGCAATTCTGACTCACCAGCCCAGTCTGGGATACATGGATGAGATAAAATGGTGAGACGTTTATGCAAGCAGAATCAGCCATCGACGTTCAAGAACTTCACGCTGGTTCAGAAAGAACAATGCCCGTTTCTTTAATCACATGTCGTGTATGCGATTTGCATTAACAAATGGCATAACATCAAATAATGCACGGTTACGTTATTCGAGTACTTTATGTTTGTTTCTCCAAAGTATTCATATCCAATCGGAAGGTAGATCGGAAGGTTCAAAGCACAGCCCTTTATCAAACCACTTCCCGATGTTCTTGTAGAAAGTCCCATTACTTTCAACATCCCACAATCGGTCACAAATTTCACACATGGGCTTTGCATCGTAATGATAGGTCATGTATGTTATGATCCCATCTTTAACTATTGGCCATTCCTCCCAAATAGCGCGATACTGGTCCTTTCTGCGAAGAATATTCACATAGGCAGTTTCATTTTGAGCCAGGTGGTTCAACCGCTGGGCTACATGATGAGGTGACACGAAATCAGCTGCATTGATGAAGGTTCCTTGGGGAGCAATGTCGCTGTAGTTGCCCCTCCTCTGGTCACAAGGAGCATATCAGAGTTGAAATAACGGAAAAACTTTTCAGATATGTAATCTTTACAAAGGGCATTTTCAAAGGCTAAGTAGAATTTGTAGTTTTTCGAAAGGTATTCCATGCATGCCTCGTCATCGGATCTGGGGCATTTGTGGTTGCCGCACCCCCCCCGAATATATCCACTTGAACATATTTACTCAATTCCCGAACATATTCCATTCTTTTACTAACTGCTCTGCAGTTGCTTACCATCCATGCAACTGTACCTTTCTTCGATGCCCATATTTGAGAATAGTTTTTTGTTGGTGGATGCTCCTCTTTAAGAAATGTTCCATTCTTCGAAGATCCCGTACGGGGCTTTGACATCGGCGTCATTCCTATAGTCCATCGTCCAGTTAAATGTTGAGCTCCAAGATTCCGTGTACAAATACGTGTGTTTATTCACCCATTGTGGAGACTCATGGTTATGCAATATCCACACTTGATTTGGAAGCTTCACGGGTGGCATCCGATCTAGCAGCTGCGCAGTGAACACAAGAGCGTCACTCTGGGTATAGAAGCCTCTGTTTGTGGTAACCCGACATCTGGATTCCGGGCATCCACGCAAGGGATGTAATCTAGAAAGGACTGGGTGATACCTGGTTGAGGAATACCACAGTATGACCTTTGTGTCTCGAGTAACAAGGTCAGTCGCAGGTTCAATGTCTCCTCTTTCCAGAAGCACTTCAAGACTTTTCTTTTCACCACTCTGAATGTGTATGTCAGGCAGACGTCGGTATGCATGTTGAACAGTTTTCATAGGAACGGTTTCTGCAGTTTTGTAATTCGATGTGTTTTGGGCTTTTGGAGCAGGTTTGTCGATGGAGAAGGAACGAGAGCGTGGTGGCTGTGGCAAAGAAAGCAAGACTTTGTCGAGGGACAACTTCCCGTGCCAGAGGTTCATTCTTTAGCGTTTGGTCAGGTGGTTCAATGAGCATTCGTGTTCGAAGAAAGGAATACCAAAGTTTTGAAACCATGCACACAGAGGCAAATACACAAACTACTTTGAACAGACGGTATCTTTTCAAATGTCGATTGAATCTGAAATGACAAAGAAAATGTATTTGTATTGATTTTATATTGTTAGTATCCGATGATGATACATCTTTCAATTTGTGTATTTATATATCATTTTAAACAATGACGAAACCAACCCATGACGATTATGATTGGTATTTCTCAACCCATATTTGTTGTAAAAGATGACTAATGGGATTGGGTGGTCTGGATCAGTGACTTGGTGGATGGATGTCATCATATATAAGATTGTGCAGATGGATGCTCTCACGAAACAGAAAGAAAACCTCTTTCTATACTCAATGAAATCATTTATTTGTCACTCACTGTTTGTGTGAAATTAAAAAAAGAATCCTTCTAGGTTGAGTTAATTTATTCCTTGGTTCTCATAATTCAGTTTTCCAAAACACACTGAAGTTCTATTGTTCCAACGGGTAATTCCTTTCCAAAGCACGGCAATTTCTTTTAAAATACTATTAAAATAACTGAAACAAAATATAAGGTGATTTTGAGTTAAATTACTCAAAGAAAATGATAGAAATTAGACTTACTAAACAATGAAATTAAATTTATTAAGAAAATTACAAATGATAAATTCTAAACATATACTTAACAAACACTTAATGAAATATTAAAACATTTAATTTCCTACCGTTATTTTTGGGGTAATAGGGTCAACAACTTCTCAACTCAGGCTGCTGCATCATTAAGCAAGCACATGGTCAAAACCAGAATAACTAGAGAAACCCGCCCCTGGCTTTAGAGTTAATCGCCCCTTGCTATAAAGTCTAACAAAAAAATAAGTAGAAACAAAGAAATGTGGGTTCAAACCCAGATATCAAAAAAACTATTGTAAATTATTATTTTATAACAAAAGTAAAAGATTCGAGAAAAATGAAACTAAAACAGAAAATAGAATTTGCCAAAAATAAAGTAAAACAACTTTGTCAATTACACTCACAATCACAAACCCCTAAAATCCGGTACCCAAAACATCCCCTGTTATGAAAACGACAAACAAAAAACTTGATCATTCTAATCATTCAGATTGTATAAAGGGTCAGCGTGACCCTGACCCGTGTAGATCCGGGGTAGAATAGGTCTTCAGCAACCCATTCTTGTCATAAAAGGCGACTAACGGGATCGGGTGGTCAGGCTCGCTGACTTGGTTGACACATGTCATCGGTTCCCAATGGCGCAGATCGATGCTCATGCTGTTGATCAGTGGATTGTCTGGTCCAGACTCGATTATTTACAGACCGCCGCCATATAGCTGGAATATTGCTGAGTGCGGCGTAAAACTAAACTCACTCACTCACTCAGCGTGACCCTGTACGGATACAAAATCGATCTCAAACATTGGAGGACATGGATGTCTCTCCTCTCCACCATGGGCGTAACAGAAGTAAGTCGCCTAGAAAAGGGAAAAATAGATCCCCTGTACAGACACCTATAACATGAATGGTTCTAGTTCACTCATTCAGTGGAATTGCAGAGGTCTCAGGTCCAATATAAATGATTTGCACTTATTATTACAAGATTATAAGCCGTCAGCATAGTGTCTCCAGGAGACACACCTTAAAGAATCTGACAGTACCTACCATTCATTCTCCCCTCCAGGGACTAAAGCTACAGGTCGATCTTCTGTTTTCATAAGGCAGGGTGTTATCCACAGCCCTGTTTTAGTTCATACAAATCTTCAGGTTGTTGCAGTTCGGATAACTATGCACATTGTTTTACTTTATGCTCTCTTTACATTCCCCAACATCGTTGCTTCATCTAACTGATCTTCAAGCGCTTTACGACCAGCTTCCAAAGCCCTGCATCATTATGAGCGATCTAAATGGTCATAACCCACCCTGGGGCAGTGTGCATACAAGCAGTAAAGGAAAGTTACTTGAAAATTTCATTTAAAAAAATGCTTTATGCATTTATAACGATGGCTCACACACTTATCTCCATCCCGGTACTGGTACCTATTCTAATCTCCTGAATGAATTTGAATGGTCCGTCCATGACGACCTTTGTGGAAGCGACCACTTTCCTACAGTTCTAAAACCAGCAGCTCCATCTGATGTTCCCCCACCATCAAGATGGAATTTCAAAAAGGCTAACTGGCCTTTATACGAAACTCTGTGTGCTGACGAACTCTTGGATCCAAGGATGGTGGTGCGGTGGCATGTGCCACTGTTATTGGATCCCAAACAATATCTTCTCGACTACCAAATAATAGCTCTATTTTCACAGCAGAAGCTAACGCCATATTAACAGCACTTAAATATATTAATAAACACCGTAAATATAATCAATACTTCATCTTTTCCGATTCCCTTTCGTGTCTTCAGGCTTTTAAACTCATTCTTGTAAACATCCACTTTTATTAGAAATTATTGAATTGTATAATGAGCTTGCTACTGGCCAATACGGCATCGTCTTTTGTTGGTTACCCAGCCACGTTGGCATTTCTGGGAATACAATGGCTGATCTTGCTGCTAAGGCAGCACTCCACAAATCTGTGACACCACTTCTTATCCCATACTCTGGTTACAGGGCTAGCATTAGAACGTACATCCGTAATCTGATGCAGAAAGGGTGGGACACCCAGGTAGGTATTAACAATTACATGAAATAAACTCGAAATAAATGGTTACACCTACTTGGGTTGTCAGTCCAGATTTGAAGAGGTCATCATGCGACGATGTCGTATTGGCCACACAAGATATACTCATGAATATCTATTGACAGGTGAGGATCTTCCGTTTTGCATACCTTTAATTACTAGTTTTAAATGAATATCCGTGATACACTAGTAGTTTTACTGTTCTTCGTCAAGGCTTTTATTTTCTAACTTTATTGACCTTTGATATATTTTTAAATTGTTTTCGTCACAATATGGCCCAAATATGACCGATAATAGAGAATGATATTATATCAACACGAGTTGATAAAGTTACAAATAACCGAGGCTTGCCGAGGATATTTTTACTTTATCAACGAGTGTTTATATTTGATATCAGAAGACACGAGGGTGAGATTCTATTTATCATCCAAAATCACTCTTCATTAATTTTCAATGAAAATGTACATCTCTGAACTTTTTACTACCATTAGACTTGCAGTGCATGATGATAGCATTGTGACGTCATCAAGTACATGACGTCAAGCATTGTCAGGGCATTGTACAAAATCTACCCAAAACGATATCTCCTAGGAGATATCGTTTGATCACAAAGCGATATCTCCTGTGGAACACAGTTTTGCTCCGTGGGGATGCCAGATTATAACAGATCCCCAGGAATCACCGATGATTGTTTATGTGTTTGTTTGTTTGTTTGTTGTTTAAAACCGCACTCAGCAAGATTTCTGCTATATGGCGGCGGACTAAATAATCGAATCTGGACCAGACAATCCAGTGTTCAACAGCATGAACATCGATTTACGCAATTGGGATACGATGACATGTGTCAACCATGTCAGTGATTCTGACCCTCCGATCCCGTTAGTCGCCTCTTACGACCAGCATGGGTTATTGAAGACCAATTCTAACCCGGATATTCAGGGGTACCCATCCGCTGAGCTAGACAATCCAGTGATCAACATCATGAGCATCGATCTACGCAATTGAAATACAATGACGTGTCAGGTCTGCCGCCATATACCTGGAATATTGAGCCCCGTTCAACAACAAACAAACAAAGGACGATAGACACAACAAGGCAGCTGGGAACGCATTTAAAATTGCATCAACAATGTGGCTTTCAAAATGTGTCAATGTACATAGAGGTTACAAAACGGGTGTTGAATCTGGAAAATGACACATTTTTGAACGGGAACAAGACGGGAAAACAGTGTGATCCATGATGATAAATAGAGCAGACGATGCTAGTTGTAAACAAAACGAAAGGGAGGTAACTCTGTCACGACTTCATTATAGATGAAAACAGAGACCAAATGATCTATTATATTGGCTGATGAAAATATACAATTGTAAATATTCTAATTGAAAAGAGAAAAATACTAATCCACAGGACACGGAAACTGAATGTTAATTATGAACAAAATGAATGTTCTGTTTGGTTGACATGTTTGATCAAAAGCTCATTGAATAGAGTTATAATGTGGATTTAAAATATCGAGGTGTTTTGACGTCACTGTCGTTGAATAACCTAGTTTGGTTACACAACACTCGTTGGATAACGTTCAACTGGTTACGAAACACCTGTTTCAAATACCCAAAATTATCTCAGAAAGATATTCAGAACATGTGTGTAATAGACCAAGTTATTCATGAAATACATTGTTTTCTAATGATGTATAGCGATGTTTAAATAATCGAGCATGCATCGTCATAGATGTGAGTGAGTGAAGGCTTCATAAATCCAGAACACTATTTTCCCTGTCAATACGAATGATCAAGTCTGGATCAGGCAAACGGTCTAACAGTAAAATGATCATCTTCCATGTCATCGGGGCTTGGTGCCACGTCATCGTTCGACGCCATGGTGCATTTCTACCTTGTGGTCTTATATAAAGATATGAAATTAGACTGTATGTCTTTTTATAAATATGTACGTGTCACTTTTACTGGAAGTTTATCTTGGTCTAGACACTTTTCCAATGCTGCATAAGAATGGAAAAAAAGGCTTTGTTTGCTCTCCTAAGATCCGTGGCAAAGATTAATTGTTCAGGGTATGACCTATCCTTCAAAATATGTTATAGTGAAAAAAGTCCCAATCCTACTTTCGAGTTTGGGGGGGTTGCATCAAAATGGTGATGCGAAAACAGTACACCCGCTGGCTTGCAATCGTTTTCTTGGAGTTCACACCTAATAATATTGCAAGAGGTGAATGTGGACGCTACCCTTTGTATATTTATGCATATAAGAGAGTTATAAGTTATTGGTTAAAATTATTATGAATGCCAGACAATCGCTACCCCAAAATGTCTTCAGTATTAAATGCAGGCAGCTAGTTTTGATTAATCGTACTGGGCATCCAAATGTCTTTATTGTTTATCTGGTTTTGGTAATATCTGGGAATAGCAGTACACAGGCCACCCAAGATGTTTCGTATTGGAATTCTTAGCTCGTTTAAAATTTATTCATGAACAAGACTGGCCTAGTTTGCTTAGAAAAGGTAACACAACTTATCCTACTCCTTGTTTAAAGTCTCCTTTGTAGACAGCTATACCTTAGTTGTGGAACTATATTGTAGTAAATATTTCGGGTTGTTCTCGCCCAATTTCGATGTTTCTCACATCAGTTGGGTATTGAGACTGGAAGGTATTTGATACTGACAGAAATAAAAGACTTTGTTGTATATGCCACAAAGGTTATGTGGAAGACGAGTATCACTTTCTCTGAATGTGCGCTTCTTATAGCCAGTTACGTGACAATTATATACCCTCAAAGTATTACTTATATCCTTCTTAAATCTATGTTTAGTATCCTTATGTCAACCCATGATTGACTGTAATTAGAATCTTGCAATGCACATTTACCATGCAATGTCAGTACGAATGTCATCATTAAGTCGAATTATGTCGTTTGTTTCTGACATGTACATACATGTATGTAGGTTTGGGCTGATGACGTACACTAACGTAATAACTAATTGAATTGAATCTACCTTGTCATCATCCGAAAGCCGAGTCCAAAACACATCAGCGAGTTAGTGAGTTGGGGTGTACGCCGCTTGTAGCAATATCACAGCGAAGGACACCAGAAATGGGCTTCACACAATTTACCCATGTGGAGAATCGAACCCGGGTCTTCGGCGTGATGAGCGAACGTTTTAGCCTCTAGGCTACCCCACCGCCCCATCAGCAAAACTGATATGGATCAAACCGTTTGAACATTATGACGTAATCACCAAATTCAAGACTATCACTTACCGTGTTTTGGCCATTTCAGAAACGTTCCGAATTATTTTCCACAAGCCTCAACACCGTGTTATAGCAACAATGGAACAGCTGCCCAAAAGGTTCTCAATCATACGTTATATGGATTCGTTTAGCAGGTGAACAATGGCGACGGGAGTCATATTAACGTGCGTTTGTTCAGTTTATGAACGATCCATTGTGGCAGATATGTGCTTTCGCTGGCTGTTAACTCCCCAGAATTCTTGCTCAGTGACGGCGGCCAGGAATACATTGTTTCTGGTCCATACTGTACATGTAAATCCTTATTGCCGTGAGTATCAGATATGTATTTTGCAAACATATATTTTGCAGTGAAACAAAGTGGGTGGTCGAGTGGCCTGAGGCCCCGCGAATTGATTTGCATGTCGGGTACGCCCTGGGCTCGAATCCCAGTTGGCCGGGAATTCTACGTCTCTAAGCACAATATCCGTGGTCTCAGGTTCCACCAAGTGAAGACCCGCATCACTTCCGGTTTGACCAGTGAAGGTGAGGTGAGGTGAGGTGAGGTGAGGTGAGGTGAGGTGAGGTGAGGTGAGGTGAGGTGAGGTGAGGTGAGGTGAGGTGAGGTGAGGTGAGGTGAGGTGAAATTGGGTTTAATGTCGTGCTTGAGAATATTTCGCTCATATAACGACGTGCATTCGTGTGTATGTGTATGTATGTGCGCCTGCTTGTACTAGCCCAGACTTAAGCTGGTTTTATAGTGCTAGCCCACTGAGATACCATGCCTCAGTGAAGCATGAATACCCCACTCAGACACATTATACTGACTCCGAGCCGACCAGTCCTTGTTGTACCCATTAATGCCCAGCGCCAGACAGGGACCAACAAGTATATTTAACGTCTTTTGGTATGACGCGGTCGTGGATCGAACCCGCGACCTTCCGCTCGAAATGAACACTTTGCCCAGAATTGTCCCGCCCAGGTTGACCGATATGGTGGTGAAAGTGTCATGATGTGGGGGTCATATCCTACACGAAGAATTTTAGCTGTACGGTGACGAAATCATAAGAATTCGTAAGGTTCCGATCATGGTTTATGGTTTAAACATATTTTTATTCATGGAAATGAATTGAATTGGTGAACAAGCATTACTGCTTATGTTAAAGGTTCCGATCATTGACCGCCTAAGTTGCAGGAGTTGGTCCTGCAAGATAGTGCCAGGTTTCACACACTACATGCCACTATTCAGTGTTTTTAGAATGAGACCATTACAGTGCGTTCGTGGCGTTCCACAGCGTGGCGAGAAAGGTGTGCGAGAAAGGATGGAGATGGCACAGCACAGGCTAATGTATCAATAACTTGGTGGGCACTTGTGCACGTGCTTCTCTAACACCTGGCTGTCCCTTTCTCTGCACTCCTCCCTCATAACAAATAGTGAACTGTGTCAAAATTTTAATGATAGTTTCTTAAAGAACTTTTTTGGTGGAGTCCGGAAAATTTTCAAATATAAGAAAGCTGTTGGGTATTAGTAAATGAGAAACGTGTACTATTTATATTGATGTGGCAATTTTGTACAATGATAAAATTTGCAATTCATCGGTCTGTTTCTGACTCAAACGGACTGTAACTGGGCATCCAAATGTAAGTCTCTATTGTTTAACATAGATTTTGGTTATATCTGGGAACAACAGTACGTAGACCACCCTAAATGTTTCATAATTCTTATCTCTTTACAAGACTTGCATAGCCTACTTCAAAAAGGTAACCAAACTTTATCTGACGTCTTCTTTAACGTCTCCTCTGGTACAGAGCTATACCTTAGTTGTCATACCGCCAAAACAAATAGATTTGCTGGCGTCCAATATCGATGTTTTTCACATCAGTTAAGTATTGAGACCAGAAAATATATCAGTAGTGAAAGAAATACAAGTCAGTGTTGTGTGAAAGACAGTGAAGGGGTGCGTGAAAGACGAGTACCCCTTCCTCTTAATCTGCTCTTCTTACAGCCAGTTACTCGGAAATTCTGTACACACAAAGTATTACTTATATCCTTCTAAATCTAAGTTTACTATCCTCACATCAACTAGCGATTGTACCCTAATTAAGAATCTTGCAATGCACATTTACCATACAATGTCAGTCTGTAGAACACTGAGTTGAATGTCAGCATTTAATCCAATTATGTCGTTTGACATGTACACGGATGTGGCCTACACTAACTGCATAACGAATTGAAATGAACCTACCTACCATCATTTAATGATTTGAACATGATCAACTATGGGACCGTTTATAATTAATGTCTAGTGGGCGAGGATGGGGTGTGTGTGTGAATCCCAAAAGCAAGACAATCACTTACCGTGTGTTTGCCATTTCTGAAACGTTCCGAATTATTATCCCAAGCCTCAACACGTGTTATAACACCAATGGAACAGCTGCTCAAAAGGTTCTCAGTCATCAGGTGAACAACGGCTAGGGGAGCCAAATTACGTGTGATTATTCATCGATTCATGTTGACGGATGTGTGTTTGCGCTTGCTGTTATAAAATTCTAGCTTATGACGGCGGCCAGGACTATATTGTTTCTGGACTATCCTGTGAATCATAATTGCCGTGATTATCTGATGTGTATTTTGTAAACACAGTTCGCGGTGAAATTGAGAGGGTGGTCGAGGGTTCGAATCCCAGTTGGACTTGATTTCTACGTCTCAGCACTATATCCACCACCAACTCGTGTTATTCCGGGACAGGCCGAATGGGGCTACGGAAAGGGGTGAGTGGTCCAGACTCGATTATTTACAGACTCTCACCATGTTGCTCAGTGCGGCGTAAAACAACAATCAGCCACCCACTTCCGGTAGGTGTTCCCGCATAAGACCATTCAGTCCATATTCTTTAAGCATATTGGCCATTTCCATCATACTTTTATCTTCATTCACCCAGGAAAGACATTTTAGGACTGAGGATCAGTCTAAGTAAACTTTGGCTCAGTATTATTCGTTACACTGCTATACTGAGTCTAACAAAACCTTGTAGAAGGTCGCGTCCATTCGTCACCACTCGCCTCTCGATGCTTGTTATGTGCGAAAATATGACAAACCAATCAGAACGCGCGTAAATGACTGCGGTGCTTTGGTAAAAATAATCCCGAGTAGTTAAATCGTTTATGGCATTATGTCATTGTTTAAAAATATATATCGTCATATTGAAAGTACAAAGAACTTAGCTAACAGGATTTTGCTGTCTAATGTGAAGTGTTGGATAAGCATCATGTGATTGACGGTGAGAGATTGAAATACACGCACGTGCGTTTGTTGACATAACGGCTCTCATGGGTCCAACTGAAGGTGTTTCTGACGATCTTGCGGGCTTGCTATGGAGATTGCACGTGTGCCTCCAACAATTTTAGGAAATGTAATTATATATCGCTACGAGTTTCAAAACAATAATATTATATCTGTATGTAACTAATCAACTTTAATCTTTAACATTAGGCATATATTTCAATTCTCTTGGAATATTTTAGTCTGACCTTCTTGTGGTCATTTATATATTTTTCAGCGAATTCAGTTAAAATTCCACTTGTGGTATGACAGCAAGGTTACACGTATGTCCAGTTTGAGAAATATTATAAAAGTCATATTTTGAGTTTCTGCTATTGGATTTAATGTAGCGGTTTTTTTTTACAAATTTGATTTGCATATTCGATAAAACAAATCCCATTTGTGATTATTGAACCCTTTTCAGAAATATAATTGGAAATATAAGGTGAATATCTGGTAATAATTACGTCAGAATATGTCTTTAACAAATATTTTCTTTTCTTTCTTTTAGTTGTACCAAGGAGGTTTAATTCTTTAGAATAAATAGCAAAAACAAAAACAGCAATACAATGCATGAGTACTTCGGTGATATTAAGTACCATTGGGATCAAACAGGAATAGAGTTATCGTTCCTGTTTGAAGTAGTTTTGATGTTCCTACGCCAATATGAAATCCTTCCAGAGGAGCACGAATCACTATTCGGCTTGTCCCGGAATAACACGACTTGGTCACGAATGGGTCGCGTCAGCTAACCTTTGATCGTCCAATCAAACGCGAGACGGCCGATCGGATTTAACCAATCAGACAACGACTACTTGTTAGGGTTCGGCGGGACTTACAAAACGGTTTTGGGATTTTCTCTTCCCTAGTCCCATTCGTCACCACTCGCCCCTTTCCGTAAACTCCAAGAAGACGCTATTCGGCTTCATTCGTGACCAACTCGTGATATTCCGGGACAAGCCGAATCAGTCGTCACCACTCGCCCCTGTCCGTAACCTCCTCGCTATTCGGCTTGTCCCGGAATAACACGAGTTGCTCACGAATGCCCTGGTCGCTGACACTGATCAACCAACGAAAATCCGCATAAAACACAGATATTTGACATGGTTACTATTTGCTTATATTTTCGCAAGATGACAAAAACGCTATTTTCAGCGACTTTTTACTCATTGCGTGTATCACTCGGAAGAGATCGTGCGGAAAATAGCATTCGGAATCGTTCGAGTGTTTGAGGTAAAGGTTCAAACGGTATGTGCGAATGTTAACTGTCGCGATTTGGTAAGCTGTGTTCTGATTGGTCAGTCCAAAAGGTTAGCTGACGCGACCTTCTACTAGGTTTTGTTAGACTCAGTACAGCAGTGTAACGAATAAGTTTACTTAGACTGGACGGAGGATGTATGTATACTAACGGAAAAAGTAACTGCATAAAATAAAATATAAGTTATTTTGAAACGTTATAAAAATAACACTAAAAACACGAGTAGTAAAGCACTTTGCAGGAAATGTATGTCACGTATTGCGCGTTGCACGTGCACTTTGTGCGCAATGAACTTGCTTACATTTTGCATGCTTTTGACGCTTGAAGTTCACTCATTGAAAACTGCATAACGGTTGATTATTCTCTTGCCTCAGAATGTTGTGGAAAACACGTTAATTTCAACCTAAACTAAGCCATGCCACGACTTCCAGAAATTCAGCGTCTCTGCTCCGTGGGTATGCCAGAGACTGGAATGGACCAAAATGAAGTGACCAGACATTTCAGTGTCCCTGTAAACACGATCTCATGATCCCAGTGTATCTAAAACCAAAAAGGAATGTACTGTTGGTAATTCGGTTTTAAGCACCCTGTGAAGGTCCGGGTTAGAATGAACCTTCAGCAACCCATGCTTGTCGTAAGAGACGACTAACGGGATCGGGTGGTCAGACTCGCTGACTCGGTTCCCAGTTGCGCAGATCGAGATGAGACGACTAACGGGATCGCGTGGTCGATGCTCATGCTGTTGATCACTGGATTGTCTGGTACAGACTCGATTATTTACAGACCGCCGCCATATAGCTGGAATATTGCAGAGTGCGGCGTAAAACTAAACAGCGAGTCTCGAGTGTCGGTTTTAATCATTATCAGTGGCGTAGCTACCATTATAAAAAGGCCTGGCTTACACATGATTGTTGCTAAAAACGTTGGACAAGCTCTCAATAATGTCTAAATAATAAATTTTGCACCTATCGGGCGTACTCGATAAAAAAATGACTTGCTACGCGCCTGATTGTTTATAGCTTTTACTATTTTAGTTTACTACTTACGGTGTACCTTAAGTATAATTCAGAGGCAAAGGCTGCGGCTAAGCCTGCCAGCAGGGCTCAAGGACCACTTATTTCTAAGGTTAAGACAATAGAAGGTTATGTATTTTAACACCTTCTCTAAGCTATGCAACACTACGGTATGGCCTGCATATTATGAGGTAATCGTCATGTGTCTACAATCAACACAGTTCATCACAGAGCTATTGTTTTTTCTTGGAATGCATGAGTAAATATGCACCGAACAATGATATCAATGGGGACACCGGATAGAACCGTCCTATTGTCCAAGGGGCGATGGAGTAGCCTCGTGGTTAAGGCGTCAGCTCGTCACGCCAAAGATCCGGGTTCGATTTCCCACATGGGCACAATGTGTAAAGCCCATTTCTGGTGTCCCCCGCAGTGATATTGCTGGAATATTGCTAAAAGCACTCACTCACTCACCCCCATTGTCCGACAATCGTTGTGTTTCTTTAGACAGTGGTGTTGTGTTAGAAATATGCCTGAACGTTTAACTATACTTGCTTTCTTATGGTCGGAAAGGCTTACTGCTAATCGTAAATTGGAACTGCCATTTTTCATCAAAATTGGCAGACCTTAATATGCAGCATGTTTCATATATAACCACTCGCATAAATACTTAATTTATCTGTACAAATATGCAAGATTCCCTAAAGGACAACTTTGTTAAACATTTAAGCAGGAGTGAGTGAGTGAGTGAGTTTAGTTTCACGCCGCACTCTGCCATATTCCAGCTATATGGCGGCGGTCTGTAAATAATCGAGTCTGGACCAGACAATCCAGTCATCAACAGCATGAGCATCGATCTGCGCAATTGGGAACCGATGACATGTGTCAACCAAGTCAGCCAGCCTGACCACCCGATCCCGTTAGTCGCCTCTTACGACAAGCATAGTCGCCTTTTATGACAAGAATGGGTTGCTGAAGACCTATTCTACCCCGGATCTTCACGGGTCAAACATTAGCAAGAACGTTTATGGAGAGATATTGATATGAATAGTAGAAGTAAGTTCCGTACCTACAGATATTTTAAAGATTTTTATTGTTGTGAAAGTTATGTCAGCAGTTTTATGCCCCCGAATTACCCTCGGCCTCTGCAAAATTTAGATGTGATATTGCACCTTTTAAAATAGAAATGGGCAGATATACAAGTCTAAGTTTTGATAATAGAGTTTGTTTTAACGGCAATGGACTTATTGAAGATGAAAAGCATGATTTATTCCAGTGACCTCATCCAAACAACGGAGTGACCTAAGGTCAAAACTAGCTCCAGCTGCGTTTGTGATAACCGTTAATCTCTTAACCTGGTGTGTCTTATCTACATGACTGACTGACCTATAGTGACACTGTCAACTTCTTGGAGAGGTCTGTTAACGATGTTGGTCAGTATAGTGTGTAACACTTTGATAATTAGGAAACATACTTTTTGGCTTACAAAATCGGTTCTGTGAAAATAATATAATATTTTAGTGAGTGAGTGTGTGATTTCGTCGTATATTACGACGGGGGACAATAAAGAAATGGGCTTCTCACATTGTACCCATGTGGGGAATCGAACCCAAGTCTTCGACGTGACGCGCGAACACTTTAATCACTAGGCTACCCTACAGCCCTATTACATTTCCAGCAATTCTCTTTTGAACACTGCCTCCGTGGTGTAGTTGTAAGAGCGTCCGCCCGGAGAGCAGAAGGTCGCGGGTTCGATCCACGACCGCGTCATACCAAAAGACGTTAAAATATGGTACTTGTTGGTCCCTGCCTGGCGCTTGGCATTAATTGGTACAACAAGGACTGGTCGACTCGGAGTCAGTATAATGTGTCTGAGTGGGGTATTCATGCTTCACTGCGGCGTGGTATCTCAATTGGCTAGCACTATAAAACCAGCTTCAGTCTGGGCTAGTACAAGCAGGCGCACATACACATACACACGCATGCACGTCGTCATATGAGCGAAATATTCTCAAGTACGACGTTAAACCCAATTTCACCTCACCTCTTTTGAACAATACCAAGAAGCATTCTAACGACGATAGAAATTTTTGTTTTATTGTTTCTTGCCTTTTTCTTTGACTGAAAAAAATCGACAAAAATACTTTCCATGAAGAAAATCGTTGTAAAAGTGGAAATGTAAAACTGATCTTAAAATTTCTGTACAGACAAATCTCAAACTAGTGAAAAGGCGTTTCAAAGTCAGTCTGCAATAAGGTCTTGACTCATCCTCATTAAGATGGCCCAGTTTAACTGCTCTAACCTGTCGACACGAAAGGGAGTTACCTAACCAATCAATTGCAGTAGTCAATGAATTCAAAGGTTCACACACATATTTCAATTGTGATTAGAGTTACCTCCCCTGGTTATGTACACTCACAACAGCTGTGATCGTTCGAGAAATTTCGGGATGGGACAGTTTCATGAAAGGCTAAGGGACAATATGAGATATTTGGCGGGTTGATACTCTCAAGACTGTGATGTCGTTGTCATTTTATAAAATGGTTCATTTCTGCTCTTTCCCCCCCGGTCTGTACATATCGATGTACATGGATATTCAGATGATTATGGTGAACTGAGAGTTGATACCACAACTTCCTCCCAATGAAAGGTTCTTCTTCGCCCAACCAAAGCGAAGTGGCTCTATATACAGACAGTAGGGGTCTTCAGTCTCTAGGAGCAAATTTGCTTTGATTATAGAGCGGCTGGTTGGTTGGTTGTTTCCAGCTATATATGAATGGTCTGTAAATAATCAAGTCCGACCCGAATAAACCCGAATCAACAACATGAGCATCGATCTACGCAATTGGGATAGCATGACATGCTTTAGCGAGCCTGAACACCCGATCCCGTTAATCGCCTCTTACGATAAGCCTGGGTTACTGAAGACCAATTGGTTTAACCCGGGTAGATAGATAGAGGGGATTTCACGTCACAGGCCGAAAGTTGACGTACAAAGATACTCAAGGGCATTCTCGGGAATTCTGTGACGAGAGAGACGGATTTCAGGGGATTGATCACATCACAAGACGTTGTTTTCTTAATTGATGTTACATTGCTGCACCTGTTACAAATAATGGACTCTCACCCAGGGTAGTGAAGGACTCAATGGCACTTATGTTTAATAAAAGCAGAAAGGTTTAAATTTTTGTATATAACTAAACATATATACACACCCTCATTCACACAGGGGCGGTGGGATAGCTAATGGTTAAAGCGTTTGCCGAAGGCCCTGGTTCGATTCCCACATGGGTACAGTGTGTTAAGCCCATTTCTGGTGTGCTCGCTTGATATGCTGGAATATTGCTAAAAGCGGAGTAAAACCATACTCACTCACTCACACATTGTACTCATGTGGGGAATCGAATCCGGGTCATCGGCGTGACGAGCGAACGCTTTAAACATTAGACTACCCCACTGCCCCCTTAAATCATGAGAGGTTTACTACTAGGACTGTGCAATATTACCGGTAAACCGGTACATACCGGTACAGTATCTCGCGATACGAATATCGCGATATGGTTCCGATTCTGCAACATATTGGGTCACCCAGAGTTGTCTCTGCTAAGTTAAGTGTCCTCAAATGGACCAATCTTTTATTTCCACTTATTAGCAGAGCCGCTGGCTGTGAGTGACCATTTTACAATTCACATTATTTTGGTATTTTTGTTTGTTTCATAATGGGACATATGTTATCAACTTATCATAAAGGCCAAAGTCTTTAAATTTTGTAGGACTGTATAATGACATTCTGGTCAATGTTCTTAGTTATTGGAGGTCACATGAGATTTTAAGCTCAGATAGTTCACCTAAATCATGTTTTTGGTTACATTTTGTAATAGTTCATGTTTACACATGTTTATATTTGGAGAATCTGAATGAATCACTGACAAACAGTAACAATAATTACATTGATTACTGCAGTGAAGTGCATTCTGTTGAAGCAAACAACACTGACCATTAGAACCGTGTTATATTATCACCTTTATCATTATGTTCAGAAAACTTTCTTTCAATAGTTCAATTAAACATTTATCATTAAGGCTCTATATCACAATGGGGACAGGGAGCCTGGTAGTATGGTGTAACAGCAACTAAGAAGATAATGTTGCACACAAGAGAGCTATTATGAATTTATGATGTACGCACTTGGGCAGAAAACCTTTCAGTCGATATATGACAATGTGTATTGCAATATCTCTTAAATTATTGCAATATATCGCAGTATGAGAATCAGGGCAATATCCAGCCATATTTTCTACCATATTTCAAGGACGAAACACGGTCTGACATGGGCACGACTTCATTACAGCTGGAAATTTATTTAAATCCAATAGGTGTGGCCAGGTGCCAGGTGCCAGGTGCGTCAAATCATTAACAATATGTTATCTTGTTATATCATATTTGGGTATATGTTTTGCCACACGGGTAAGTTTAAAATTCGTCGAACGTGGTACCTTGATATGCAAACAGTACGATGTTGTAAAATTATACTTAAAAATAAAGGTATAAGTTTCAGGCTAGTAAAAAAGTATTTGGTTCTCAGTCAAAAGCTTCTGTAAAAATAGAGATTGCGGTTGACATCTTAACCTATTTATTGTCCAAACTGTATGTATCCAAACGAACAGTTGTGTTCTCCTTACATAAATATGTAATTTAATGAATAAAATCGTGACAATTCAGCCTTCTTTTGTCACCATTTTGACGTAGATAATACTGTAATTTAATGAATAAAATCGTGACAATTCAGTCTTCTTTTGTCACCATTTTGACGTAGATAATGATGGTTATCATGGTGATTGAACATATTTCGTGAAAGCATAATACTGACAATTCGTTTCGATTTTGTTTCCTTAGACAGACCTTAACACCGGAAGTGTCAGCAAAATCGCTTGACAACTTCACACGATCATCTTAATCTCTACGTGTAAACAAAGCTCAGTAAACAGGTAAAAAAATATTAAAAATCCATCATGTTTGGTAGTTCTTTATTGCAATCTTCACATTTTCATTGACCAAGTTTGCAAACGGCGAAGCCACCTCACAAACCGAGCAGAGCGCCATAACTTCCGCTATGATCGTTAAAGGTCACATGCAACGTAAAACACAACTTTGCAGATTCAGATACCTTTCGGTATGGACATACAGTAACAAATGATCAAAAATGCAAATTAAACTTTTAAAAATAACGCAATGAAAACTGTGTTTTAATTATGTGGTTTTTTTGGGGTGCATGTGACCTTTTAAAGAAGTGTTAAGAGAAGTAACTGAGTGCCTTATCTTGTAAAGGGAAGTAACTGCGTTCTTAATACTGAATGGTGTTTTCAGTATTACAGAACTCTCTAATGGAGCGACTCTGGCTGAGAACCAGGATTATTTGTTTTAGCCTTATGAACTGTAGTATAAAAATAAGACGTTCACCAACGATCATTCAAGCAATATGACCCCGTCTGCAGCTTTGCTCGTTTTACTCGTGGTGCCAGCTCTGGCTATGCCTGGGGTAGGTCATATGTTAACTGTATTGTATCCGGACTAATTGTTGTACATTGTATTTTGTACTCATGTTGTACCCTGTCAGAGGTTGGATTTTACGCTGGTTATGTAAACGATATAAACTGTCGGACATGGAGTCTTTACCCTTAAAAAGCGAACTCGCCTGAGCCTGTCAATTGTGCACGTGCAACTCGTGTGTCTGTTTTAACGAAACCACACAATTTCCGATTGATAATAATTTCTGGCTACTTTGAACAATCGGAACACCTTTTCTATTTACTTCTCACAATGAAAATGTGAGACACAAAGGAGATTGCAAACAGTAATTTAGTTTGTATCTTCAGCAACCAAGGATACTCGGAGTGAGTGAGTTCAGTTTTACGCCGCTCTTAGCAATATTCCAGCAATATCACGGCGGGGGACACCAGAGGAATCGAACCCGGGTCTTTTGGGTGACGAGCGAACGCCTTAACCAAGAGGCTACCTCACTGCCGTGATATTGCTGGGGATATACATCCCCAATATTGCTGGGGATATACATCCCCAATATTGCTGAGTGTGACGTTACACTACCTGCCCTCATTCCCTCCATACATTACGACGCTGTTACTGTAATGTTTCCGTATTCTGTATGCAACAACCAAAGACCCGGGTTCGATTCTTTCCATCGACGCCATGAAGCCAGGTCTTGGGTTCCCCATTGCGATATATACTTGACAATATAAGTTAGGAATGTGTTGTTTTTTTATGATTGATATTTTATCAGTGTGTCAATGAATAAATAGATAATTATTCATAATCTCAAATTTACATATATCCCTAAATATTTTTGTCCAGTATCAGCGGCGCAAAATCATACTCACTCACTCAATTTATTCAACAATTAATAGTTTAGTTATTGCATTTTGGAAGCCGCGGTGGCTGTGTTAGATCCCAAATTGGGTTCCGATTAGATGTCTCACTCTGCAGGTGTGGGTTCGAATCCCGGAAATGACTCAAACCAATCAAGGACCAGAATCTGTACTAAAGTGAGAAAGTGTAATCCCAAACATAATGCATGTCGTTGAACAATGTTCGAATTTTTTAATGTAAAAGCACGTTTAGCTTGTTTGGTTTGTCAACAAGATCAGAGTGAGTGAGTGAGTTAATATTTAACGTCACATCGGCAATATCTCAGCCATATCGTGACGAATATCAGAGCTATATGGCGTCCGTCTGTAAATAATCGAGTCAACCCAGTCAGCGAACCTGACCACCCGATCCCGTTTATCGACAGTTATGGTCTAGAACCCAGACCCCCAAAATGGTGAAACTGTGGTGCAGTTCTGGCGACCAAACGGGATGTGATTTTTCACAATCAGGAATGATTTAGCTTTGATTTGAATCCGGTTGTCATCAGCTACCGTGCGTGACTACCGTGCAGGGGCCCTTTTAATGTGCAACATGTCATGTCAGTTATCGCAATATTTTAATCGATAACTGGATGGTTTAAATTAATAACTCTGGTTTGGTTTGACCGATTTCATAAAAAAATATTTTTGGAATGCTCAGACCATGACTTAAAATTGTGGACAATAATGTTACATATATGCTCATCGCAAAAATATTTTGGTAAGGTCAAAAGTAACTTTTAATAGAAAGGGCATTTGATGAGAAAATATGAGTTGAACAAATTAAAGGTAATTGTTTCCAAAATTATGTTTTTCTGATTCAGCTATATCATTTGAAGATCATATATACCGTTGGTTGGCATTGTATTCATGAAAATCCATTACAAGGAAACAAAGGTTGGTACTTTGTATTTATATCAGCAACATGTAAGAGAATTTCAGCTCCATGCTTTACAAAGTATCAACAATACTAAATATGTCGAAGATACTGTTAAACTGTCATACATATTTGCGTTTATTGACATTCTGGCAGAAGCAACCATTCAGTTGATGTCAGAAGGAGATATATTTTGATAAGTGTCAGTATTGCACTGACATGCCGTGAAACCCTTAAAACTGATGGATAATAATATGACATCCTAATGAAACATTGCCTTCATGTCAATTCGTATTTATTGTTCTTAATAGTCATAGTGTATTCCCAGTTGACATGTTAGTTAATGTCAACATTGTCAAGATCACGGGGACATGTTTCAAGTCTACATCCACATGCCAAATACACAACAGGTTCAACCTCTTGCAGCTACACCTTCCTGTACATTGACGTTTACATGCACAGATATGTTGATGAAGGTCTACGGAAACGATTTAATTTGCAACTTTATCACAGAGGAACAGAAGAATATTTGATTAAGATCTATTACGACAGAAACGCACTGCTTTAAATACAAAATATTAAGTACCTGCTTTTATGGACAACTCAAAGGAATTCCTAGACAATATTCGTGTCTATTGTTCCTAATAGTCATAGTGTATTCCCAGTTGACATGTTAGTCAATGCCAATTTGCAACAATGTCAAGATCACGGGAACAAGTTTCAAGTCCACATCCACATGCTCAAGTACACAGCAGGTTCAACCTCTTGCAGCAACACCTTACATTGATTTTTACAGATGTGAAGTTGAAGAAGGTCCACGGAAACGATTTAGCCTTAACTTATTTGCAACTCTATCAATTTTACAAATTTCTGAAAATAGCAACAAATATATTGATAGCAATATATACTAGGCACATAAAGAAACTGTGCATGCAAAAGTTTAAATCTAAATTTATCAAACCTGTGTGGACACATAAGGATTTAAACTCAGAGATTAGTGACATGTATCCAACATGCATGCACGTGCCACGTTCCGTGACGTCAGTGGGTTCGTCCTTGAGACGTGCAATACGTTGTTGCACGTGCATTCCGGGAAAGAGAAACAGAGCAAATGAATGCCACACAATACTGTCACTTTGGAAAGCTCAACCCCTGCCCTTGCGATCGTTCAAAAAATTAAACGGCTTTTGAAAGGCATAGCATGCCAAGGCTCACGTCTGCACAACGTCATGAGGCCATTGGGATGGTCCGTGGGGTAATGTCTCAACAAGTGGCTGCACATTTCCACTGCCACCGGAACACCATTTCTGCACTGGTGAGACGCAACCAGAACACAAATAACGTCATCGATCGGCCACGTTCTGGACGTCCACGTGTAACAACACCAAGACAAGACAGATGGATAAGGGTGACCCATCTTCGCCACAGGTTTCAGACTGCAGTGATGACTGCCCGAACCATCCCAGGACTTCCACCGTATCCATCCCAACACAGTTCGACAACGTTTACGTCATCACGGGATCAGAGCACGACGTCCCGCCATACGGCCTATCCTGACACAACGTCATCGACAAGCTCGCCGAATGTGGTGCCGAAATCATGTCCGCAGACCCTTGTTTTGGTGGAGTAGACAGGCTTCACTTTGGACTATTGCATTACAGAAGGGGTTGGGCCGAAAGTTTGGAGTATGAGACTACTGGCATGTGTAAGGTCCCAGCGACCGGTGTCAGGCCGGGAGAGCCACATTTCAATTAGATGGCTGTAGGCGGTAAAGCCACATTTCCAATAGATTAATTAATTAATGAATTACCGTAACCGGTAAAAGACTGTTCCTACGCTAAACGCCAAAAGAAACGTTACCCTCCTACCATCTATGAATTACGTAAATACAAATATATGTTAGAAGGTATTAGTTTACAAGAAAACTTAACAACACAGCTTTATGCAAATCACGAATGAAATTCTCAAACGCATTCATATTTAGGTGAACTGCATCGTCTTCAGAAGATTAAATTGTCCTATTTTCGACCATGCCGAAATAAACCAATAACAGTGATTTAAACTAGATGTCCAAAAGAAAGGTGGAAATATAATTCTGCTTAAGACAGAGATAAACCATTTAAAGTCACCATTTTTCAATTATTAAAACAAGTAACAACTGTTGTAGAGTGTGTAAAATTGTAAAAGGATCATTCCTATGATTTCAGTCTTTTAAAACATTTTCTGCTAATTTGCAATAGTGAAAACAAATAAAACGTGTCCTTGATATTGTGCAAAAGTGTTTAGGAACACCGAAAATGATCTTTGTTAACATTTTTGCTTGCAAAGTAACATTTACACACACAGCAATATCAATCGCCAAAACGTAGCAATATTCAAGAAGTATTTGCATCAATTCCACGTGTAGAATGATTCTATAGGGTATAAAGAGAGCCAAGAATGCATGATATGATACACTAGCACGAGAAATGTGCCACGAGTAACAGCGGAAGAGAGGGAAAGAGCCATTGGGATGTTGCAGATGGGGTCGACATACAATGCTGTTGCCAACGCCCTCGGATGCCACCATATCAAGGTTATAAGACTTATTCAGCGCTACAGACAGACTGGGGTCACCGTAGATAGACCAAGAAGTGGACGTCCACGCATCACAATGCAGCAGAAAGTTTTCATACGAAATGTACAGATGACAACAAACCAAACCATTGTCATTATTATTATGTTTTACAGATTAAGATTTTATATTATAATGTGATAATATTATATTGTGCTAATTATAGAAATAAAATCTGTTGTGATCTGAATAAAATTATGAGGAAATATGTCTTGTTTTGTTAAATACGGTAACCTGTTTGAATCACTAAGCACGTTTTGACAGCATAGCCGGGAGAGCCACATTCCATGTTCAAGCAACCATAACTATTGCCGGGAGAGCCAAAGCAATTTTGGCTATCTGTTTCGGAAATGTGGCTCTACCGTCCTGTAACCCAACGACCAGCAAGGGAAACGCATTTAAAAAAGCTAATCTCCTAGTAATACTGAGTCAAAAAAGAAACTTCACATTCTTTCTTCAGGGCACTATAAAAGAACAAGAGATGGTAAGATGGTTAAATTGCTATTATTTCATTGCTGAGATCTGTGTGATGTACTCGATACACTGACAGTGCCATAATCAGTTCCATTAGGCTACACCGCCGTTCCAAAACATGGGTATACAGAATGTCAAGTCACAAGAATAAAAATGCGAAATTTCTCCTCAATTCAATATCGTGCATGGCCGCCCCGCGCATTCACCACTGCCAAACACCGTCTCCTCATCGACTGCCTGATGCTTGTGAACACGTGGTTGGGGATTCTGCGCAATTGCTCTTGCAAGGCAGCGCCAAGTTCCTGCAAATTCTGAGGTTGGTACCTAAGACCACGAAGCCTTCTCCCAAGTGCATCCCAAACGTGCTCTATTGGATTAAGGTCAGGGGACCTCGATGACCAGTCCATGACGTTGATTCCAGCGTTTTGAAGGAAATTTCGTGTCAACATCGGGCTATGCGGCCGAGCATTATCATGCTGGAACTGTAGACCTGGGCCATGAGCCGCCATGAAAGGAACGAGTTCAGGTATGAGCACCTGGTCGCGGTAAGCAGCAGCTGTGAGGTTTCCACGGATGACCAGAAGTCGGGAACGGTTGTTCCCACAGAAAGCACCCCACACCATGCAACTTCCGCCCCCGAATCTGTCGACTTCCTGTACACAACATTGGGCATACCGTTCACGACGTCGTCTCCAGACTCTATGCCTGCCGTCCGCGAATCTGAGGGTAAACCTGGATTCATCGCTAAAGACGACTCGATTCCAGTCTCTCTGGGTCCATCGGAGGTGACGTTGGGCCCACAGCAGACGTTGACGTTGATGAAACGGCGTCAATATTGGCCCACGATATGGACTTCATGAATGGAGATTGGCAGCCAGCAACCGATTTCGAATGGTCTGTGAGGACAGTCGACCTCTAAACATCTCAGCCCTGGTTCGTGTAGCCGGCAGAAATCTGTCACGTAGGTGACGTAGGACGATTTGACGGTCTTCTGCTCGTGACGTCACACGTGGACGACCCGACCTTGGGCGATCAGAAGTGGTGCCAGTTTGTTGTAGACGACCTCGCAAGTCATACACAGTACGACGGCTGCATCCCATTGCTCTTGCGACGTCAATAACTGATCTTCCCGCTTGCAACATGCCAACGGCACGTTCACGTTGCACATTTGACAATCGTGGCATTTCAAGTACCGTTAGAACTGTGGTTTAAAAGTGTTTTTTTCAATTCTTGATGCGAAGATCACGTGATCGACTGCACGTGCAAAACCTGATTTGGCACTAACGTCATTTGCACCACGAATGGATGGGTTTGAGTGGGTTTTGCTAACGTTTTTCTAGAGTCGAAAGATAGGGATCCCATTTCGGATACATAGATGTACCATCAGAGAAAAATTATTCATTATTTTTCAAATCACATTTTGTGCAGTTTCTTTATTGACTCAGTATAATATTAGCGTTCTTATTTCGGAAGATAAATATATAGATCTGGGCAAGCAAAAAGATGTCCTTCATTTGAAACACACTCTGCTGATCACAGCTGGTCGTTTCATAATATCTGTTTGGACAATGCAGTTGACTACAGTTGACTACAGCCGACTTGGTAATGGTCATCTGGGTGAAGTCTGTCAATATCTTAGAGCTGACGTTGTACTGTCGACGTTCATCAGCTGATGAAGATAGTGATTCACGTCAGGCAATTCCATGGAGCGACTCACAATTCATTCACTCTGCTTGAAGGACAACGTATTCATGCGACATACTGAAATCGGGAAATGAACGACAGTTGGTGTTTTAGTATCAATCTAGACGAGGTCACTCAATACTTTCAATATGTATAGACAGCTGATAGTGATTAATGCAACATGACAATTGGCTCTCTGAGGTACGACTTATGCAGAGACAAGAAAAGATATTGGCGACATACATTTAGTAATAGCATTTGGAATGATCTACAACAGATATCATGAGACTGACTATGCATTTATTCACTTATCATTCTCACAGGTTCATAAATATGTTGGGCCAAAATTGATCTTCAGCAACCCATGTTGTAAGAGCAAACTAATATGATCGGGTGGTCGTTCTCACTTACTTGTTTGATGCTTGCCATCGTATCCCACTTGTGAAGATCGATGCGTATTGTGTCATGACCATGCTATGTGTAACTTCTTTTACCGAGGTATGCATATTTTTATGAACGTAACAGTAGAAGCCAGATGTTTATATGAATATTGTCTAGGCATTCCTTTGAGTTGTCCATAAAAGCAGGCACTTAATGTTTTGTATTTAAAGCAGTACGTTTCTGTCGTAATAGATCTTAATCAAATATTCTTCTGTTCCTCTGTGGTAAAGTTGCAAATTAAATCGTTTCCGTAGACCTTCATCAACATATCTGTGCATGTAAACGTCAATGTACAGGAAGGTGTAGCTGCAAGAGGTTGAACCTGTTGTGTATTTCTGCATGTGGATGTAGACTTGAAACATGTCCCCGTGATCTTGACAATGTTGACATTAACTAACATGTCAACTGGGAATACACTATGACTATTATGAACAATAAGTACGAATTGATATGAAGGCAATGTTGCTTGTGTTATGATGACATGACAGACTCATCATTCTTTGATGAGTAAAGAAAGACATCTTGAATAATTGATTTATACATTTAAGATCTTTCTGTTATGTTGTGTGATTTTAATGATAGTCCAACAGTATCATTGACATATTTAGTATCGTTGACTATGTAAAGCATGGAGCTGTTACTGTTGAACAGACATTATATAATATTTTGCTGATCTAAATACAAAGTACCAACCTTTGTTTCCTTGAAATGGTTTTTCATGAATACAATGCCAACCAACGGTATATATGATCTTCAGATGATATAGCTGAATCAGAAAAACATAATTTTGGAAACAATTACCTTTAATTTGTAAAGTTCAACTCACATTTTCTCATCAAATGCCCTTTCTATAAAAGATTTACCTTACCAAAATATTTTTTGCGATGAGCATATATGTAATATTATTGTCCACAAATTTAAATCATGGTCTGAGCATTCCAAAACTACTATTTTTATGAAAATCAGTCAAACCAAACCAGAGTTATTAAATTAAACCATCCAGTTATCGATTAAAATATTGCGATAACTGACATGACATGTTGCACCTTAAAAGGGCCCCTGCACGGTAGTCACGCACGGTAGCTGATGACAACCGGCTTTAAATCAAAGCTAAATCATTCCTGATTGTGAAAAATCACATCCCGTTTGGTCGCCAGAACTGCACCACATTTTCACCATTTTGGGGGTCTGGCTTCTAGACCATTAGGACATGGGTTGATGAAGACCAATTCTAACCCGGATCTTCACGGGAAAAATACGTTTAGTAGGAATGAATAAAGGAATGAGTTCGTGAATTGAATACCCATAATAAGTTAACATCATTCACTTCTTTCAGCTTCACTGCTTTGGTACTATTCTATATGCTGATTTGTAGCAGAAACTGTTGAAAATAATACCAGTCTGTTCTTCCTCAGCTGATACGCGACACCAAGATGAGAGCTGAACGCGAGACAGGTACGTCTGTATATTCTTGAAACCATTTCCGATTATGAGATTACCCTAGTCATGGGAACCGATCTAGAATCGTAGCCTTTATCAGACGTTCATTTGCTCCATTTATAAGGTTCTATTAGAGTGTCAGAATGTCTTTTTGAAAGTTGGTTTGTTGTTTACGCCGCACTCAGCAATATTCCAGCTATATGGCATAATCGAGTCTGGACCAGACAATCCAGTGATCAACAGCATCGATAAACGCAATTGGGATACGATGAGTCAACCACTTCTGCGAGCCTGACCACCCGATCCCGTTAGTCGCCTCGTACGACAAGCATGGGTTTCTGAAGACCAATTCTAACCCGGATCTTCACGGGGACATTCAGAAGGTAACTTTCCGTCAGTAAGTGGGTCGGTCCGTATGGCACTCGTGGCTGAAGAGGAAACACCAAAGAAGACACGATAAGACGATAGTGGTTACTTTCGCATACAATTATATACATGCATAGATGCACTCTCACACACATACCATTATAGATGATATTATATGCTGATAATTGTTCACAAAGATTTTATTTCGTTACATTGTGGACTACATCCATGTTTTATCCTGCCAACATGTATTGGGCACTAACTCTGCAAATCGATGCTCTCCTTGAGACACGGGTAGTGTCCAAAATCATGGATCTGACAAACGAAGGGTTGACATCAACGCACTGCCAGCACCGAGGGTAGCCTTGTGGTTAATGTGTTCGCTCGACCCGAGTTCGATTCCCCACATGGGTACAATGTGTGGAGTCCATTTCTGGTGTCCCCGACGTGATATTGCTGGAATAGTCCTAAACGCAACATAAAACAAATACCTATCCGATCAGGCCATAAATCATTTGTTTCTTCTCCACAGATGACCCTTTCTCCTTCGACATGAATCCGTTCCCTGATTTCTCATGGTCATGGCCCTTTGGTTCTTCCTCTTCTTCTGGAAGTTCTTCCGCTGGATCTGAATCAAGTTCTTCCGCTGGATCTGAATCAAGTTCCTCCTCTGGATCTGAATCAAGTTCCTCCTCATCTTCGTCATCCAGTTCCTCTTCTTCTTCGTCGTCGTCTTCCTCTTCGTCATCTTCTTCCTCGTCGTCTTCCTCTTCTTCGTCGTCATCATCTTCATCTTCCTACAGCTTCTCGTCCATCTTTGACTCACCGGAAGGTAGTTATTCTCTCGCGTTGCAACTTGCGTTTTCCCGTTATATTAGTTTCTTTAGCAATATTCAAGCACTATCATGTCAGGGTTTATCAGAAATGGTGTACAATGTACATGGGTACAATGTGTAGAGCCCATTTCTGGTGTCCCCCGCCGTGATATTGCTTGAATATTGCTAAGAGTGGCGTAAAACTCAGTCACTCACTCGAAGCTCATATTACTGCGAAACACTCTAAACACTGGGTTACCATTCTTGATGATGCTTTTCTGCCTCTAGATGAAAGTGCTGTCGACGCCGTTATCTGGGCTACGTTCATGCATGACGTCGTGCTGGATGCCGAGAAAACTCTCCAGTAGACCCATAAGTGGGTGGACGCCACTTACGAGTGGGTGGACGCCATTCACAATACCCAGGGCAGTCCAAGTCCGTTGTAACTGAATCGGAATAAAATCTGTTTAGAAATACCTAAATATTTTGTGCTCCCTTCCGGTCTATTTGCTGTTCTGTACTGTTCAGTGAACTAATGCTGTTTTACTCGCAGTCCGCCGTATTCCATCTTTATCACGTTACAGTACGGTACGCTAGTCACTCCGGGGTCGGTGGGGTAGTTTTGTGGTTCAGCCGTTCGCTCGTCACGCCAAAGGCTCGGGTTCGATTCCCCACATGGGTACAATCTGTGAAACCCACTTCTGGTGCCCCCCGAATATTGGAATGTTGCTAAAACGGCGTAAAACCAAACTCGTCCCACCGAAGACGTGGGTTTGACGCCTCTGAAGGCATTCATCACCCATCGCCCGTAACCTCCAAGAAGACTCGGTATTTGGCTTGTCAAGGAATAACACGAGTTGGTCACCAGTGCCCTCAAGGGTTCAAAGCGAGAAGCCCATTTCTGGTGAATTTGTCGAGGTAGTGCTAAAACCGGTGTAGTTTATCAAAGCGGCTTGTAGGTTCTACATAGCTGACAGAGGTCATGAATCCACACCTACCTTGGATACTGTTGCTATGTCTCCCCAACTCTGAACAAAGAGCAGTCAAAGATGGCTGAATGTCAAAGGTGGTGACAGGCTAAATTAAATACCCGATAAAATAGCTTTAACCTTTGGCTGGGATTTCATCGGAAAAATCCAAATTGGCCTAAAAATGCTTTAAAAATTATTATTTTAGCGTCTCTTGACGAAAATGTGTGGTGGTGATGTGACCTATGTGTCTGCACCTCACACCGAAGATATCCCTAAAGATCCGGGTTAGAATTGGTCTTCAGTTACCCATGCTTGTGGTAAGAGGTGACTAACGGATCGGGTGGTCTAACACGCTAACTTAGTTGACACGTCATCGTATCCTAATTACGTAGATCAATGCTCGTGCTGTTGATCACTGGATCAGACCAGACTCAATCATTTACAGACCGCCGCCATATAGTTGGAATATTGCTGAGTGGGGCGTAAAACTAATCTCAGTCACACCAAAGACCCAGGCTCGATTCCCCACATGGGTACAATGTGTGAAGCCCATTTCTGGTGTCCCCTGCTGTGATATTGCTGGAATATTGCTAAAAGCCACCAAAAACCATACTCACTCACTCACTCCCAAAATGGGAATAGTCTGCCACAATACAGTACATTACTGCATGGCGCTTGTTGGAAAGAAATGCCTATGTGCATAGCTATAGACAAAACAAAATATCAGATTTTGCAGCTGTAGACTCTTTCTATACCATGGGCTAAATTTTGTTTGTTTTGGTGTTAACGTAGCACTGAGCAATATTCCAGCTATATGGCAGCTGTCCGTAAATAATCGAGCCTGGACCAGACAATCCAGTGATCAACAGCATGAGCTATACAACTGGGACATGTGTCAACCAAGTCTTTGAGTCTGACCACCGATCCTGCGTCTCCTCTTGTGGCAAGCATGGTTGCTAAAGACCTATTCTAACCCGAATGAACATAGACTAGAATATATCATTACAAGCATTTGTATTTCTCTGCCAGAGAGCAGCTGCAGAATGAGATTGGCAGGTGTCTTATTTTTTGTATTCAGTGAGTGAGTGAGTTTAGTTTTACGCTGCACTCAGCAATATTCCAGCGGTCGGCGGTCTGTAAATAATCGAGTCTGGACCAGACAATCCAGTCATCAACGGTATGAGCATCGATCTGCGCAATTAGGAACCGATGTCATGTGTCAACCAAGTCAGCGAGCCTGACCACCTGATCCCTTTAGTCGCTTCTTACGACAAGCATGGGTTACTGAAGATCAATATTCAAACCCGGACCTTTACGGGTCTTTAGAGGGTAACATCCAAATGTGCACCATTGGTCCACAAGACGGAATTAGTGAGTGAGTATGGTTTTACGCAGCTTTTATCAACATTCCAGCAACATCACAGCAGGGTGACACCAGAAATGAGCTTCACAGATTGTACCCACTTGGGGAAATTAACCCAGGTCTTCTGCGTGATGAGCGAATGCTCCAAACACTAGGATACCCCACCGCCCGAATTAGTGAGTGAGTGAATTAATATCAACATTTTACACACTGCTCTTTGCTGTGACATCCCCTTTCATCACAGAAGGTCTCGGCACATGGGCAATATTTCAGCCATATCGTGACTAAACAGAATCAGTACACAGAATAGAAGCACATATGCACCATCTATTTCCAAGTGCAAAAGCTGAATTAAGTCATAGTTACACCAAACAAAAATAAGACCTTTTACAACTTTATTTACCTGAAGACACAATCATAATATCTGACTACGGGCCAAACACCCACATATGCATGTGCAAAGGCAAGTGTCTGATCAATAGGCCTAGCTGTAGTAGTAGGATTGCAGCATAAGCTCATTGCTCTTCACACACAAAATAAGAACAAGAACTGAATAGTGGAATAAAAAACACTAACACACACAGACACACGCATGGCACCAAAAACATGTTTGACACATTCTGGTAAATAACTACATGTACTAAAAGGGTCATTCTGTTTGTATGTAGGTCATAGAAAACACCTTGTATGTCAGCTATTGTCAATCATATGTCAGTTTTAAGATATACAGATAGACCTCTGAACACAAGACCTATTTTTCATAGTTTCTAGTGTCAACAACTGACAAGAGAAACCTGACTGAAATTAAATACAATATATTTCAAAAGCCGCTGACAAAAACTAACTGGGCTGACTGTTAAATAGATACATGACATGACTAAAAGAAAAACGTCACGAGAAGTCATCACTGATGTCAGTTATAAATATAGTGTACAAATATCATTATTCAAACAAAATTATCAATTATCTTTTGTTAGCTTGCCATGTAAGCTTGTTTGGTTCCATTTGTTAATAGCAATACAAATCTGAAATTTGTAAATTATCAACAGTGAGTGAGGGAGTTTAGTTTTACGCCACACTCAGCAATATTCCAGCTATATGGCGGCGGTCTGTTAATAATCGAGTCTGGACCAGACAATCCAGTGATCAGCAGCATGAGCATCGATCTGCGCCATTGGGAACCGATGACATGTGTCAACCAAGTCAGCGAGGCTGACCACCCGATCCCGTTAGTCGCCTCTTACGTCAAGCATGGGTTACTGTATAGACCAACTCTAACCCAGACCTTCACGGGTACAAGAGTGAGTGAGTTTAAATTTACTTGGACAAAGTGCTGTGACTATGTGTCCCAGTCCACCAAGCTGTGAATGGGTACCTCATAAGGATAGGAAAGCCACAATAACTCGGTGCGCCTAGTGGCTGCAAGAGTTCTGTGATCCCCAGGAAGTTGGGATTGATAATATGATGTGCCGTTGAGATTGACATCCAATGATTGGGGGAAAAACAAAGCGCCTTTGAGCAGGTGAGATGGATATTGGCACTATACAAATATTAGCATAATAAGGATTAAGTTTGGGCAAGTAACCTGTAAACCAACTAATATGATATAAAAGGCTGTATTTGAAGGTATTCAGCATGGTCACAAAGCCTTGGTCACATACAGGTTACAGTGAGTCATTTTGACTGGTAAAGCCAATACCTTATATGCATCGACAGCTTACATTTATCAAGTTTTCCTTCCAAGCTGATTGAACTGTTTGGTGTTTGCAATTAAATATTTTGTGATTTAAAAATTTGAGGGACATTTGCAGAGGGTTTTTTCTGACCTCCAGATAAAAAAACGTCTTTGCCAAAATACATCAGAGAAGCATTTCCAACAAATCAAGAAATAATCACCAACAGATAGTATGGGTTTCTTAGTCAGAATGAGTGACGCTGGCCTCAAGTAGCCCATCAGATAGCTGAGAAATCATTCACATTATACTGTAAAATAAATTAGTTAACAAATTCCAGTATGGTATACCACCAGTGTTCGAAATAGCCACTGGCCCGCTAGTCCGTGGCTAGTAAAAATCCAGTCGGGCTAATAATCTCCCCAGTCACTGGCCCGACTGGCTAGTGAATTTTCATGGGTTCATTTTGTAAATATATCACTCTCTCTGTGACTTTGTTACATCATAATACACTTTTAAATATATGCAATATTATGGTCTGATAACAAAATGTTCATCATATTAGCAGCTTAATGATGAAACCTGTGTCATGCCGACAATATCCTATTCTCATGTATTTTTGTAATCTTTTGCTTAGTTGCTACATTCAGATTTCGGGCTTGTGAATAATGTTCTGGCTAGTAACTTTCAGGCATAGCTAGCCCGCACTGACTAGCAAAATTTGGAAACTATTTCGCACACTGGTTACCACTAGGTTCGGGCATAAAATAATTGCTTTAGGTCAAGATCATTCATCCAAGGTCAGTTAAGTCCCTGTAATCTCAACGCCATTCAGGAAACTCCAGCCTTACTCGATTTCCACACCTGGCACAATCTGTCGATTTAGGTACAACTACTCTCTATTTCACAGGTACTACATCAGTTAATGAATTTTGGGCTAGCTAAACAGCATTTGCACAAATCATCCTCCACATTATTAGTCAATAGTGATTATTTATCTGGCATTGACCCCCATGCTCAGTGTAGCAGCACTGATGTTTCCATATTACCAGAAAGTTTCACTGTTAAAATTAGTCCCTTTCTTTAGAGTATAAATATTGACAGAAACCAAGACTATTCTAATCAGACTCTCCAGTTAAATAAAATTAAGAGCATTTCTATTCACAAAAATAACATATGAAATAGAAATGCTGTTAATTACATTTAACCGGAGAGTCTGATTGTAATGTTTCTGGTGAAACCTTATGCCATGTATATTGGGAGTGTGATGAAACCAAAACTTTCAGGAAGAAACTTGAACAGTGGATTACGAAACGTATCCATGCTCTCAATTTGACAAAAACTTTGATCTGGTTTGGCATTTTAGGTAAGAACCCATTACTGAATCGCATAATCTTATATTTGATATTTACACTTGCTCTTTGAAAAAAAACAATTCCAAAAGTTGATAATTACTTAAGGATATTGAAAGACGTATTCACCACTGAAAACTCCATTTCAAGAAGAAATAATAAATTTGAAAGCTTTTTAGCCAAATGGTTTCCTCTCGTCCCAGTATTTAATTCTGAATAACTATTAACCAAAACATATTGCTGTTGGTATTGATATTTAATGTGTTATATCTTTATTGAGCCCACAAGCTGTTATGTAACATAATCCTCTGTATGCTTGTATTCAACATATTGGGAACAATATAATAAAAAAGAAAAGAAAAAAAAGAGCATTTCTATTTTGTGTTTATAAACATTTTTAACTTTGGAGACTAGAAGATTTAAAGCCTCCAACAGGCGTAGTTTTAAATGCTCAAACAGATGGGTTACATATCTTTTTAAAAGTGCAGTCCAAAAGGCAGCAGATGGTGTTTGTATCACAATTTCAAGGACAATTTCAATCTGTTTGGCTAAGCCTGTAAAATACTGTGAATAATATAATTAGATGTGTATAATGCAACCAGGAATTTAATGTGAAATAAATGCTGTTTACAAATATAAATAATTCAAGTGGACACTGAATACAATAAATTTGTATGTGGGAAAGTATGAAATTAGGCTGAAATTTGATCTATTAGATGAAATTTGTGCCAAACAAAATTTATTGTATATTCCCCAGGAAGCTGAGGGAACACCAACTGATAGACTAAGGGTAGTATGTCTGATGGTCCTGAGCCTGATTATAATAGGTTATAATGGGACACAATAAATATATCCATTTAACATCATCATCATCATCACCACCATAAAACCAGTGGCACATCATCAAACTGAATATTTCTGACCAAATAATACCGATTAATATGAAGAAAAAGTATTCAAACAAGACCGTAACCATATATAAATACATATAATCCTATATCAATATATAGTTCTAAATAGGAAAAGCTGCATGACAGTATTCTGGAACAAACAATCCAGTCATGAGCATCAATCTACGCAATTGGATTTGCCAATCAAGTCAGCAAGTCACCTCGCTCTTACAAGAAGCAGATGAAGCTATTGAAATAGACATCACACATTGTGTCTTTGATGATGACTCGAACCAACATCATGAAGGTCAAACACATTCATACAAAACTACCCCCAAAACATGAGTTTAAAAGGAACGTGATTTGACTTAAAACTAAGGGGAACAAATTTATGACATTGAAATGTCCAAATGATGCTCTTCTAGTTATGATGAAAATTTCTTTCTTTCTTTGTTTTGTGGTTAACACCGCACTCAGCAATATTCCAGCTATATGGTGGCAGTCTGTCAGAAATCAAGTCTGGACCAGACAATCCAGTGATCAACAGCATGAGCATTGACTACGCGATCGCGTTAGTCGCCTCTCACAACAAGCATGGGTTGCTGAAGACCAATTCTAACCTGGATATTCTGTGATGAAAGGGATGTCACTGCAAAGACCAGTGTGTAAAATGTTGAAAGGGTTATCCTTATCTACATAAAGGACAAATAGACCAGTTTTGATTGAAATGATACAGATTATTCCTGTAAAATGTGATGTGAATGGGTAGTTGTTAAAAAAGAGCCCGGGATCATGGAGCTGCAGATCCAAGAATGATCCCAAATCGATCAAATCCTCAGAAAATTCTCATCCCTGAATATCTGTCAGCTTGGAGACCAGTTCACAGTTGCGTGTAACACAACACAGCCTCCGCCCTTCACAAGATGTCTTCCAAATGACGTAATCATTCCATCTTTACCACATTACAAACAAATTTACTTCTGTGTTCAAAACATTTTCATTGTCAATTTTTGCATCTGGTCCCTGTTTCACTAAGTGATCTCAGCACTATGACAGCCATAATCCTCTGACAAAGTATGGAAGATAGAATAATGCTGGGTCTAAAACAGCTTGTGCAATAGGACATAGCAGGGCTAGATTTAAGAACTTTATCTACTTGCAAACAGTGCAACGTTTAGATAGTTAATCAGAAATGTCATCGATTGGAAAATTTATTAATGATTATCACTATGAATATTGTGTCATCAATTATTTTGAAAAGTAAACCTTTGTGATAAAATAAAGTTCTAACACAGTACACAAATGTAGGTTTTTAATGATGGTCAGCTTCTAAATTATGTGCAGGATGCTGGTTTGTTAGTAATCCACACATAACCGCATCACCAATTATGTGAAATATATTAAAATTGTATCGATATTTTGTTAACAATTATCAATTTCTATGTTCTTTGTCAATAGCCAGCATAAGCAAGCTTAGGTAATAAATTTCGGTGCACCAGACATCTGGTTGCACCTGTTGTACAATACTGAAAAATTATATACATATATATAATGCTTGAGTTTGGCTATTGATTACATCTGTATAACAAAATTATTCTGGGACGAATAGAATCAGTTTACCCTCCTTCCTTCCTAAAATGTCACGACATGAACAGCAGCAGTCATTCAATCTCAGTTGCTGTTACCATGGTTACTAGCCTGTTTATCATAAGCAACTGTAGTTTAAGGTTGCACCAATGCAAGGTCTAAGGGACCATTAATAATTTATGGCTGGGGTGTGTACAAATGTACTTAAATCAAGCCCTGCATATGAGCATCTGAGGGTGATGTTGGCTGTAGATTATGTAACACTTTTGAAAATGGACATGGTGTTGACAAACAATGCTTCCTAATTTGGAGCAATCAGAAGCCCTTTATCAGCAGATGCTGATGATCCTAAGGGACAGAAGTTGCAGTAGATGTCAATTATGATGAAATTATCTCACAAACCATCACTTCAAAAACTTGGCCTAACACATTAAATCCCTGTCACATTCTACGCTTTGAAACTATTGTTATTTACACTTCACATCAAATCTTTTGTATCCTAGCAACTAGGATGATGTTATGAGTTTAAAAACTATGACTTAGCATACACCAAAATGAAGAAATAGAAGTAATCCCCAAATTCCCTTTAAACTTGAAAAACACAGTCTCAAGGTATAATTTATGTATGAATGACCTTCACCTTCATCAAACAATTCACCAGTACTATATGAGAAATTGTTTTTAAAACAAGCAATAATATTCACAACTGCAGGTGGCACAATATGACCTTCAGTAAGCCCTAGGTCAGTGTTGACACTGTATTTAGATACTGTATAAAGTATCTGTGTTCATCCCCACATGGATACAATGTGTAAAGCAAATTTCTGGTGTCCCCGCCATGATATTGCTGGAATATTGGTGAAAGTGGCGTGAAACTTAACTCACTCACTCACAAACATTAGACTGCAAACAAGAAGGCTGTTTGCTTGTCATAATCAAAAGTCTATTTACAAAATAATTACAGTAACAATGTGTAATGTTCTTACGAGAAGGTTGCTTGCATTGTTAGAAATTAATGCTCACCCTGAGGCTCGAGGCGAGTAGAATTTTGTCTAGGCAAATTAAAACTATGCCAGTGGTCCTCCGGTGTGAGACAATGGTATGTGTCATTATCATCACTGATAATAAAGATACGTCTTTGTCATTGATAATTTTCTCATTCAACATGGCCTGCCACACAAGTGTTTTTTTACCTACTTTCGTTTTGTTTGTAATCCAGAGTTCATACTTTAGGATGTAAGCGACTGCACATGACAGAAAATGTACAGCCACCTGCCAAAATGTGTGTGTGTGTGTGTGCGTGCGTGTGTTATTGCGTGTGTCAGTTTACTGAAAGCGTGTAGCCACCATGTCAAAATGTATTGCTCCACTTGCATGATTGTGAAGGAAAGGGGACAATGGTAACTTGTTATTCTACTTTCAAAGTCAAATCGCTGAAAATCTATGAGAAATTCATGGGTCACAAAATGATCACTGCCAAGTTACAAGCCTACAGCTTCTAAAATAAAATGCCTCACCAGTCATTTATGATACATGCTGTGCATTTAAATGTTTTTGCTTCACCATAGGCATTTGTATTACTAGTAATACAGTTGGTTAATATAAAGCTGAGTTTATTACTGCATCGTTTGTTTTTTTTACTGGCCCCGTCTGAAGATAAGGTTAATTTCTATCACTGTTGTTAGGTTGATTATCAACACCCGGTACTCATTCTAATAATGATATACAAGACATTACAACATGCTTATCTCAGAAGAAGCATAAGCTGATATTTACAGTCTTCAATACACTGAGAATAACACACGCTTCCTCTGAATTCTCTTTCGCTACTTCTTCTGAGGAGGCGGTTGCGTCGGTAACGCTCCTTTGAGTGGATTCAGTTCTGTGTACCTGTCCAAACCCTCACTTTCTACAATGATCTTCACAAAGATAACATCATCTTTGATGTAGCCAGAGTTGGTGTCCATAAGTCGGGGAAGGGGGAGAAAAAGAGGGCATCCACTTGCGATGTTCATCTCAGAAACAGGCCTCCTGAAGGATGAACTTGTTGGGTCGGGTCGGAACGTGTCCACCATGTGTTCTCGGAAGTTCTGGTCAATCATCATCAGTGTCACCTTCTGCTGGAACGGCCATGGCATCAACGCATCATAATGTCCCCTCATCACCACAAAGAACAGTGAGATATGGCTTCCTTTGCCCATCCCATCACCATTTAGGTATATTCTTGCGCACATTTTGTATCCGACTTTCCCCGTAAAGAAAGCTGGGGAGTACAGACTTGTCACTTTCCCTGTCACAGCCTCGTTTCTCTTCTTTGCCACATCAGTGATCCTCCAGAGCAAGCTGCCATCGTAACTAGCAAGCTCCATGCACTGCATACGAAGGTCGTGTTCTGCAAGCTGGATGTCCTTCAGGGCAGTGTTCCTTTCCACAGTCTTGATCTTCTGATCCATCTGTTCCACCAATGTGTTCAACTGGTCTGTTCTCTGGCGTTCAGCAATCTGTTGGCGTTCCAAAGATTCAATGACCTGTAGGCATCTCTCAATCTCCTTGTGAAGGACACCCATGATAGGTTCAAATGAAGACACTTTTGCCTCGGTAGCCTGAAGTCTTCCATTGACGTTCTGGGAGTCATCATTGGGTTGTCTGTGATTCTGAAGCTCCTGTATTTTTCGGTCGAGTTCATTGATGCTTGTCATCATCTGTGCTAGGTCACCTTGAGGAGTCACGGCTGTAATGTTGCCAGTCACCATTCTCTCCAGAATTAGGAGCTTGTCCATGATCCAGAACAGATGATTCCCTTGAGTCTTCCCATTGGTCAGATGTTGGACAAACTTGTCAAGGTTCATCTGGAAGCAAAAACAAAATGTCAGTTTAAGACCTGACAAAAACTAATGATAGACTTACTTACTGAAGAATAAATAAACAAATTGGCAGGGACTAAATTTCTCAAGCGTTCACATCAACATATATATCACTCGCAATGTAAGATATGTAAAGTCATTTTATGAGTGCTTCAGTGATGTTAGCATCCCCACCAAAACTGTCGCAACTATTACAATAAAGAAGTTGTCTATACATAAAACTTGTTCCTCTCTGCACTACTTAAATAAACAAATTGGCAGGGACTATAGTCTGTTTGCAGAGATAACGTACCGATGAATTTCACTTTAAACCAAAAAGTAAAACAAAAAAAAGTGAAATTAAGACTGCGAATCCTCATGATTTTAACTTGCCAATTGAACATTTAAATCTCAGAATTTTATTCCTCTTGGAAAAAAAGTTGTTTAACAAACAATCGTTTCACATCGCTATTATTGGTTTGTAATACAAGGGGGTATGCATATCAAATGAAACACCAAGAACGACAAGGGTTGTTCTAAGTTAACGCTCTTCACCTACCGCACATGCATTTGTTTCACTGTTCCAACTACTGAGCTTACCCCCTCGTAATACAAACCAGTAATATCGATTTGAATCTATGATCATTTGTTAAACAACTTTTATCCTAAGTTGAATAAAATTCTGAGATTTAAATGTTCAGTTGGCAAGGTAAAATTATGAGGATTCGCAATCTTAATTTCACTTTGATTTACTTTTTTGCTTAAAGTGAAATTCATTGGTACATTTTCACTGCAAACAGACTATAAATTTCTCAAGTGTTCAAATCAACATATATATATCACTCACAATGTAAGATATGTAAAGTCATCTTATGAGTGCTTCAGTGATGTTAGCATCCCCACCAAAACTGTCGCAACTATTACAATAATGAAGTTGTCTGTACATAAAACTTGTTCCTCTTTGCATAACTTGAATACTATGAGTGTATCAAGTTTGTACTTGCCTGTTCTGGACATCCAACAGGACAAGTCAGCACTCTCTTGCTGCACTCTCTGTCCAGATGGTCTTGCAGCTGGAATAGATAGTGAGTGAGTGAGTGAGTGAGTGAGTATGGTTTTACGCAGCTTTTAGCAATATTTCTGCAATATCATGGCAGGGGAAACCGGAAATGGGCTCCACACACTGTACCCATGTGGGGAATAGAAACCGGGTCTTCGGCATGATGAGCCAACGCTTTAATCACTAGGCTACCTGACAGCCCCTTTGGAATAGATAGAGAGACACAGGGATAGACAGAGTGAATGATTTGGGTTTAGATTTAGTAATATCCCGGTTTGGGAGTAGCGCCCAATACGATGCAGGTTTGGTTTGTTTGTTGTCGCACTCAGCAATATTCCAGCTATAATGAGGCGGTCTGGAAATCATCGAGTCTGGACCAGACAATCCAGTGATGAACACCATGAGCATCAATCTACGCAATTGGGACACAAATACCCGTGTCAACCAAGTATTCCAGCTATATCGTGACGTTCTGTAAATAAGCAAGTCTGGACTAAATAATCCAGTGATCACCACCATGAGCATCGATTTGCGCAATTGGGAGACGATGACATGTGTCAACCAAATCAGCGAGCCTGACCACCCGATCCCGTTAGTCGCCTCTTATGACAAGCATGGGTTACTGAAGACCAATTCTAACCCTGATCGTTACAGGTTACAATGCAGGTCTCGCATGTTGACTGATTTAATGAACCACAAGCACAGTTCGACCTTGTGCAATTCTGAAATGGTGGTTTTGGGCTACCAATACACCACATTTGGATCATTGCAATTAGATACCTACAGTTCAAGTGAAGAAAAACACTGAAGATATTTAGTGTTTTTGGAGTTCTACTCCAAGTCAAATCTGTCACCAAAACATAGAAAGATATAGGAAATATTTTAGGTATTACTGACGGAGACATGAGCAAAATATATGTAATCACCTGCTCCCTTGGTATTTTCTTCTTTCCACAAGCATCACACTTGGTTGGGTATTTCAGACACTCCTGGTTGTGAACCTGGAACAGTGTTGGAGGCAGTGTCAGCTTATTACGGTCCAGTCTTACAACAGTGTCAGTTTAATTACAGGGGAGCTTATGATATGAATAAATGATAGTTCTATTTTGTCAAATTTGTTTTCTTTAAAAATCTGAACATTACTAAGAGACCGATAATATACTAAGGATGTATGTGTGTGTGAAAACACATGAGGGAGGGGAATAAGGAAACGTTCTGCCATGTCAGCAAAACAGGATAGTCTCTCGACCAATGTAAGAGCCCTCACCTACAGTCATCCATCGCAATAACGCCCTTTGTCATACTGTGGTTTCGGTTAAACCGTGGGGTCATCTGTGGCTCCCATAAAAATTCAAAAGTTCCCCAGCGATCACATACCTTCATGTCATCGGAAATAGCCTATCAACAAATCTGCAGTTGTGCTCAGGTTAATCATGTTGTAAGCTAGCGATATTCAGTGCGGTATGAAGTTATATTTTCCGACCGTTTTTAAACTGAATCACCAGTTGATTGGAGTAAAACATGTGTACACAGCTGATTGTTACATCCAGCCTGATTGAATAACAGAAAACATAACAGGAGCGACAATTGAATTATCATATCTAGTCATGTTTGATTGTATGTTTACTATTTTCATTTATAAATTGTTTGTGTTCACCTCTGACGATGCGACATAGTTTTGACTAGGCACAATACACAAAATAGCAGTTATACATGGAAAATATGTGTTATCTATTCTGTGTTATGTATAAGGGGATTGTCTCAAACTGTGTGTGTGTGTGTGTGTGTGTCATCCATGGATGGTAAGAGCAGCATTATGGTGAGGGATGACTGAATAATAAATGGCCATTGAATAACGATACCTCAACAACATCGATGAGACATAAGGCAGGGCTCAATGTAAGTGATTAGAACTTGCACTGGTGCAACCTAAAACTGCTAAATGCAACCTCTTACAGAGCTACAGATAACTTTTTATGTAATTGAGTTATGTACTCTTTGGTGTTCATCTCAACTGGGTATCCAAGTTTTCCTTTGAGTAACCAAATAAATTGTACCCACCTCACTCACCTTCAATTGGGTATTTTGCACTTTTCCATTAATTGTAAAAATATAATAAAGTTTAAAAGTTGGTTTACGTGTTTGTTATTTATATTGGATCATGTGCTGAAATAGAGCCTCTCAATATACCTCAGTTACTTTATCTATCATCAGTAACCTCCAAGTTAAGATTTGACAGTTTTGTGTGTACGCGTGTAAGATAAATTGATTGGGTATTTACAAAAATTCAAGTCTACTTGTACGCAACAGACTTAATATGAATTGAGTTTTCACATAATTTGCGTAATTTACGCAGATACGCAGCTTATCTGTACCTCTGCTCTTATATATATCAACTTGCACCCAGAGCATGTTAATATTTTGTGTTCAAAGAACACAGACTTCAGCTGGAAAACAGAATGATGAGGAATTCACTTGGAACAGTGATTCTGATTATTGTACGAACAGTGACTGAAGGACTTATTGTTCATGAAAGTTTAAGAAGTAAGATAACTACAGATTTCTTTTGTTATAATACTGTTCTAAACCGTCTTTACCAAAACTCAAGCATTATATAAGATTTTATACTAAGCAGCAGGTGCAACCTGTTTTTGTTTGGTGCAACAAGCTGATTGCCTTTGGTTGCTCTGGGTGCAAGTAGGTTTCATTTCCTTAAATAGACCCATGTAAGGAGAACATGTTCAATAGTTAACATCAATTTAAACATGTTAAAAGTGAGTGACAAATTATTGAATTACCTCTGCATTGGCATGGCTGATCTCTGTCCCACAGAACTTGCAGCTCATCTTGCGCTTGGAGCATTCCTTCTGCTCATGCTCCACCCTCCTACTGTTGGGAACCATGTCTCCACACATGGAGCAAGGAATTGGCCGATGCTCACACTGAGACTCATGGTTCTGTGGGAGAAATGTAGTGTAATATTGAGTCCCAGAATTGTTTTGGATTGTTTGTTTGTTGCAGTCAGCAATATTCCAGCTATAATCCAGTCTGGACCAGACAATCCAGTGATCAACTGCATGAGCATCGATCTACGCAATCGGGATATGATGACATGTGTCAACCAGGTCAGCAAGCCTGACCACCTGATCTGTTAGTCACCTCTTGCAAAGAGCATGGGTTGCTGAAGACCAATTCAAACAGATCTTCATGGGTGTCCCAAAAATGTAGATATCCTATATCTCAATATTAATTCAACTCCAACTGGAGCCCAGAACAATGCCCTGAGCTGAGGCAATCTCACCAATACCACCAAGGTTATGTGGCTGGCAGATCATTCAAGAACTGATCATCAAGTCAAATCTTGGATTCAACCATGCAATCAGTAAATCTTCACATTACAAGGGAGATAACTCTGCATACCATACTGAGCCAGCACCAACGACACAGGAACATCCAGCCTGCACCAGTGAAGTGCAGGTAACATGTTCTACCACAAGTACATTGTGGCAGTTCTACTTATCCTATCGTGTATATCAGGTTACTCAAGCTCATGTGAGACAGACAACTTACAACATAATCCTTGAACTTCCCCTTCCATTTGCATCCAGGGTTGCAGCATTTCGCTTCCATCTTAATCATCTCCCTCTTCACAGCGTTGTCAGGGAACATCTACAACAAAAGCACATGTCCAGGTATCAAACAATGCACAAATGTGTCTACAGTACGTACAAATGAAGAGAAAAATACAAGAGAGACTCACAAAAATATTTATTGCACCTACAAACCAGTAAAAGTATACTTTCATTACTCCCATCAATTAAGACATGATCATTCATTCCAGGATCTGAAGTAATTTTTGAAATGCATGGTACACTGCCCCAGTGAATCATAACACTGCCTCAGTGCATCATAACACTGCCTAGCATCATACTGACTCTAAATCACTTGGGGTCACCTTGACCCCAATATTTGTAGGTCAAGGTAAACCCTGTATTTCACTTATGTGCAAAGCTTTTCAATGACATGTTACATTGTGAAAACATATTCAGGGGTACAGATAAGCTGAGTATCTGCGTAAATTACGCAAACATTTATGTGAAAACTCAATTCCTTTCAAGTCTGTTGCATACAAGTACACTTGAATTTTTGTAAATACTCATTAAATTTGTTCTAACATGTTTACACACAAAGATGTCAAACCTGAGCTTGTGTACTGTAACATTCAGCAAACCTACTAGAGTTTGAAGTAAGCAGACCCGTGAGCTACAGATGGAGGTTACTGAGGATAGATAGAATAACTGAGGTATATTGAGGGGTTCTATTTCAGCACATGAACTTTACAACTTGCAGTTTTTCTTATCTTTTCTCATATTACAGATCAAATATAAATAATTCTATTTTCACAAATAAAAAAATGGCAAAATACCCAATTGAGTTTGCAGTGAGTTGGGTATAATTTATTTGTTTACTCAAATGAAACTTAGGATACCCAAGTGAGATGAACACAAGCAAGTACATAACTCAATGACCCAAAAAGTTATCTGTAGCTCTGCATATTTGCATTTTTACATCATGATAACAATGATAATGTATTTGCATCACATGTTCAATGACAGGTTACACTGTAATAGCATAATTGCATCAAATGGGTCAGCTCTTAATCTGAACCTCCTCTCAACCAGCTTTTAATCTGAACCTCCTCTCAACCAGTTCTTCATCTAATCCTGCTTTCAACCAGCACTTCATCTGATCCAGCTTTCAACCAGCTCTCCATCTGATCAAGCTTTCAACCAGCTCTCCATCTGATCCAGCTTTCAACCAGCATTTCATCTGATCCAGCTTTCAACCAGCTCTCCATCTGATCCAGCTTTCAACCAGCACTTCATCTGATCCAGCTTTCAACTAGCTCTTCATCTGATCCAGCTTTCAACCAGCACTTCATCTGATCCAGCTTTCAACCAGCACTTCATCTGATCCAGCTTTCAACCAGCTTTTCATCTGATCCAGCTTTCAACTAGCTCTTCATCTGATCCAGCTTTCAACTAGCTCTTCATCTGATCCAGCACTTCATCTGATCCAGCTTTCAACCAGCTCTTCATCTGAACCTCCTCTCAACTAGCTCTTCATCTGATCCAGCTTTCAACCAGCTCTCCATCTGATCCTGCTTTTAACCAGCTCTTCATCTGATCCAGCTTTCAACCAGCTCTAAATCTGATCCAGCTTTCAACCAGCTCTTCATCTAATCAAGCTTTCAACCAGCTCTTAATCTGAACCTTCTCTCAACAAGCTGTTAATCTGAACCTCCTCTCAACAAGCTGTTAATCTAAACCTCCTCTCAACAAGCTTATCTGAGCATCTTTCTGTCTGAGAAACCATTTCATCTGATCCCTCTCTCAATAACCTCTTCATCTGAACATGCTCTCAACAACCTCTTCATCTGAACATGCTCTCAACAACCTCTTCATCTGAACATGCTCTCAAAATACCTTTCATCAGAACTTCTTTACATCTGAACCATATCTCTTCAACTGATATGATAGATCTCTACCTAAACTTTCCATCTGAACCAATTATATATCTGAACCACCTCTTAAACTGAACAAGATCTCATCCATACACTTCTCCATCTCAACCACCAGAACATCACCACCAGCTTTCAACAGCTACAAATCCAAACTTCTTCATTTGAACAAGCTCTGCATCTATACCGCTTCTTTATCTGGATATGCTTTCCATCTGAACCAGAATTCCACCCAATGAGCTCTTCATTTAAACCACTGCTTCATCTTCAACTTCTCTTCAGATGAAGAATCTCTCAACAATCATTAACATCTGAACCAGCTCTTAACAAGCTCTCAATCACAAGTTCTTCACTTAAATCAGCTCTCCACCAGCCCTTCACCTGAGACAGTCTTCCATTAGCCCTTCACCAGATCTTCATCTGTGATGGCCCTTCACCAGATCTTCATCTGTGACGGCCCTTCACCAGATCTTCATCTGTGACAGCTCTCCACCAGATCTTCATCTGAACAAGCTGTCATCATCTCTTCATCCTTAACAACGCTCCGTCAGAATTATTACCCCACAAACAAATTCATAATCTCTAACCTGAACAAAGAAAATCACTTCCTTTCAAAAATCACTGTGCCAGCCCAAACACAATCTCCCTGTTCAGTTCCGGGTGTCCTCATCATTGTTATTGCAAAAGAAGATGAATCAAAAGCTCCCCTCACATCACTGTATATCAACACTGTTAACATACACACATTGACAACAACTCATTGGGAAACAAATAACATATGTTGTCTTCCTTTAATCTGCTTGTGGACAGACATCTGATTTTACACTCACATGATCCAACTTCAGTTCCTCGGAGTCATCTCCCATTCCCTCTTCTATGCAGCATGGACAAATCTTTGGCTTCCCCTGTCTCTTAGCAACTTCCTCCATGCTGCAACACAGAGAGACGAGTTGTCCTGATAATTCTTTGAACCAGTGAGAATTTACTCACATGTAAGCAGTGTGATTCAATACAGAATGACACTTGTGAGGATCTGGGTCAGAATCGGTCTTCAGCAACCCATGCTTTTCTCCCCTATCAATATCTGGGTCAGAATCGGTCTTCAGCAACCCATGCTTTTCTCCCCTATCAATATCTGGGTCAGAATCGGTCTTCAGCAACCCATGCTTGTCGTGAGGGGCGACTAACAGGATTGGGTGGTCAGGCTCGCTGACTTGATTGACACATGTCATCATATCCCAACTGCGTAGAATGATGCTCATACTGTTGATCAATGGATTGTCTGGTCAAGACTCGATTATCTACAGACTGCCACTGCTGACTGTGGTGTTAAACAACAAATGGTGGTCAGTAGAAACTGAATCTGGACCAGACAATCCAATGATTGATATTTCTGAAGATTGATCTAGGTAATTGGGATGAACGAGCATCAAGTCAGTTAGCAAGTCTGACTCCCCTGATCCTGATCCAGGGATTGGGAAAGGCAGGGGCCATGGGCCAGTTTGCACATTAGAATAAAAAATGGCCCATTAAAATTTTGAAGTTTACTATTGATGCAAGGGCAGTGGCCCATTCTAAATTCAGAAAATAGGTAATAATCCTGAAAATGGCCCATTGTCAAAGTTCTCTATCCCAATCCCTGCTGATAGCTGCCACTTCCCTCAGACATGAGTTGATCATGTTGATGAAGACCAGTTCTAACCCAGACCTTTTCCAGGTCCAGTCTGTTGTGTCTTGTGGTCCAGATTAATTAAAAGTTGCTGCAACATTAATGAATATTCCTCTCTCTCTGTCTTACCAGTCTCAGAGACCTCAACAGAGCATGTAAAATGTTACCCCCAATTCCAAGGCACTGATTTGCATTTCACAGAAGAAAAGTTTCCACTAAACACACAGTTTATCCATTTATACACAGTTTTCTGCTAAATGATCAATATTTTAGCTTCACATTGATGTCACATATATACTGAAAGAGGAAAGTTAGGGATCATTAATAAATGTGAGAATATATTTTTGTAGCAAAGGCTGATCACAAAGTTCCAGAAAAATATCCCCAAAAATATTCATGATGATGAACTTATATTTGTTAATTACATAAGCACTGCTTTAGATGTCGTAGACATGTTCAAGAAACATTTTCTGCTATCTTGATAAACAGTATAAATGCCACACAAAAATTCCATTTTGTAACTGGAAACAAATGTTCAGTGTTCACGAATGGTGTTTCAAAGTACCAGGACAGTGGGTCCTGTAAGTTTCAGATGTCTGTCTGACCCATTGAAAATTCACAGGATCCAAAGAATAAAATTAAACACACATTTCAGGTTTGACATTTCTTATAATTGGCATTAAATTATTAACAAGTATAAGATTTACAAACAGCAAACAAGTGTCACATGTCACATATAACAACTTCAGTCAAAGTCGTTGTGAAATACTAGTATACAGTCAGACACTGGGGTCGGCGGGTTGTCGACTTCTATCAGACCTTTTACGAATCTGCCAGATTTGTCAGAGGGTCAGACGCTATTCGTGAACACTGAATGTTTGCTTTCCCAAAACCGTGCGTCATGATTATAAATCGATAAGAATGTAAATTTGTGCATTATTGTGCATTAATAATCATGGTAACTTAAACATGTTCTTAAATATTATTTCCATTGGGAAATTATGTCATTTTATTCAAAAGTAGACCAAACAAATGTTCAACTCATAAGTGACAATAAAGGCAAGGTACTGTTATGGATGACAACTTCTGAATTCTTTTAAGATGCATTGCATCACAACAGAATTTTAAAATTTGTCCAACAGAATATTTTACCCCTCATATCTTCTTCTCCTGGAGCATTTTACTTTACAATATTAGTCAGTTCTTATTTAAGTGTAAATCAAACTGACTGAGGTTAGTTTTAAGCTGCTTTTAGCAATATTCCAGCAATATCATGGCGGGTGACACCACAATGTAAATTAAAAGATATATCCCAGGGGTGGAAATAACCCATTGCCCGATGCCCGAGTCCAGTGTTTTTTTCTGTTGGGCAAGCAAATTTGTATATCACACTGTACCGGAGTCCAGTTGACTTTCCAGTGTTAATTATGTTGTTTATTTAAAAAATCAACAAGAAAACGTCCGGTATAGTGGAAAAATTATCAGGACAAGTGATTTTACATGTGCCACTGTACTGGAGTACACTAGCAATTTGAAAGTTATTTCCACCCCTGTATCCCACTCATTAGTAGTCATAGGTATGCAGAACTTATGACTATGAAACAGATAAAGTGATTCATATAAAAAGTGTATTTGAAAAAACTATACTAACTAAATCACCAGATGTCAATACATTTTGAGAAGTTTGAGTATAAATACACATAATGAACGTTGGTAATGAAATAGTAACACAACACTGTGTAGTAAGTGAGTTGGGTTTTACGCCACTTTTAGCAATATTCCTGCAATATCTCGAAGGGGGACACCAGAAATGGGCTTCACACATTGTACCAATATGGGGAATCGAACCTGGGCCTTCAGTGTGATAAGCGAACACTTAAACCACAAGGCTACCCCATCGCCCCAATTACTATGTGTAATTTGCCCAGTGTTACGCATTTGAGATGCAGAGACCTTGGCTTTTCAGATCTTTTGTTACCAACCAAATTCAGGAAGTACATAGTACAGTCATGATCTCTACTGCAATGAATAATGCACAAATATGCAACATTTGTCCTATTTCAGCTTCAACACATCACTGTTACCAGATGATGTGACATACTTGTGGTAGCATATGATACGTTCTAGGGCTGCTACGATTCAGTGAACAGAAATGTATCCCTTCATGAATACAATTTGTTATTCGCGATCTCTAGCATTGAATATTTATGAATTTGTTTAGAAGGAGCATTTGTACTTGAATTTGTGTGTTATTCATCAAAACTAGATATGCAAAATAGAAACTATCTAAGCCAGATAATAGCCAACAGTCATATATACTTTATTTGACAGTGATGTCATCACTGGTCACTGCTAACATGGTCTAAACATGTCAAAACATTATTTTGTCATTGTTCACTAAATATTTGGAATAATACATCAACTGCTGACTTGTTACCCAATATTTGTATTTGTTACTAAATTAGCGTGATAATTATCATAATCGCCTCAGAGTGGGTTCAGCACTGTGGGATGGACATGGTGAGTCTAGTTTTAAGCCGCTTTTAGCAATATTCCAGCAATATCATGGCAGGGGACACCAGAAATAGGCTTTACACATTGTACCCATGTTGGAGAATCAAACCCAGGTCTTCAGTGTGATGAGCGAACGTTTTAACCACAAGGCTACCCCACCGCCCCTTGGGACGGACATGGAATAACACTCTGGACTGCCAACAGCTTTCGTGCCACATGGTGTATTATGAACGTAATAGCTAATGAGTTTGTATTGATTATTTTGCTTTGTGACGTAAGTCAATGTTTGATACATAGACAAAAGTACTGTCGGAAATAGAAAAAAACTGTTTTTAGGCTGTTACTCTGTATCCCTAAAATTTACACAACAGCAAATAGCATATGTCGAAATAACCCACTGCGGCCTAACTTGGTATTCAGTTGGATGCATAATAGGATATCCAGAAAAGCATGTTTACTCGTAAAATCAGGCAAAACTTAGAGAAAATATGAATAGCTGCTAAAAACAATAGATCAGACTATAGATGGCAATTAGGTTGCTCAGCCAGCTATGATGATGGACCATCGACTCACCTGGCATGAAATGCATGTGCTGCCTGCAGGCACAAGGGGTCATCTCAAAGAAATTTTGTGCTTTTTCATGTGTGCTGACTATGTCTCATCTATTGATTAACATCTTACGTGTCTTTCTTTCATAAAGTTTATGTTGAGATATGCAAAAGTGTATGATACTTGATAACCATAGAAACGCATCGTATTAAATGTCTCAAAATATATAGGTGGCATGACCACCCAATCGCGAAGATCGACAGGACTGAAAATTATTTGTAAATTGTTATGACATGCCGTGTACTTCCCCAGTATAATTGCCCTAAAGGATTATCTTATCTTAGCTGATATCTCTATACCCCAGCCCAACCCCAACGATCTCCTGCGACACCCCTCCAGGTTTTGCTTTTGAGACGAACCCTCCTATCTGTTTCTTTTTATAGTGACAGTGAGACTGCATGGTAGCTACATCCTTAATAGTTTCAGTATGAAAGTTATTATTTTTTACGCCAGCTATTGTTTATAATGAAGCTAGGTCTAATTTCAAATTGGGCATTTAAAAAGTGTCCTTTGTAATACAATATCGTCGAACACTAATTTGCATACAGCCAGGGTCTGTTCCAATTAAATGGTTTTGGACTTAAAAATAAACCGCATTGCTCATTTCTGCACTAACCTCTCCTCAGTAAAGTCCTTTTTCTACGTTTCCTATGTCCCTACGACTGAGACTGTAGTCAGGCCGAACTTAGTTTAACAGATATTTCACACTTGCACATATCAACTACATAAATTGTAGAGATACATGAGAAAATACAGTTTTTTTCTATTTCCGACAGTACTTTAGTTCAATGTGTCTGGACATAAATGTACCAAAGTAAGCTACTTAGGAGATAAACATCAAGTGTTGGCCAATTTCTGGTCGTTATCGAGTATTTGAAGCACGGGAATTCATTTGGAACCGATGGCATTAGCTCAATTACTAATAATGTATATTCGACGAAAGTTAATAGTTACTTGAACTATCTTGATTATTCGAGTTATATCGTTATGTTGTCTAAAATCTAACAAAGCTTGTGAGTTAAGGAAAACACAAATATATTCAAACTATTCAAGCCCCTCAGGAACCCTACAAAGTAAAACGTCATGAAAGTTCTCTGAAAAAGGGAAACTTTATACAAACCTGAAAGTATTCTGTGCACATCCCATACAGAATCTGTGTCCACAAAAATTTTGTCGTGGGTCTCGCAAAATATTTTTGCACATCCCACAAAGAAACTTTTGATCAAATCCTGAAGGAAAGATATCCACAGGGTATCCTCCCATTAGAGATGTTGCTGTTGCAGACGCTGCGGCCATCTTGGTATCCACAGGGTATCCTCCCAGTACAGATGTTGCTGTTGCAGACGCTGCGGCCATCTTGGATTCAATGATTTATCTGATGATGATCGTATTTGAATACTGTTGTATCTGAAAAACAGGAACGTGAAGGGGATTAACGTTGAGTGAATGGGTGAATGAGTGAATATGGTTTTATGCCACTTTTAGCAACATCATGGCAGGGAACACCAGAAATGGGCTTCATACATTCTACTCATGGAGGGAATCGAACCCAGGTCTTCAGCATGACGGGAGAACACTTTAGCCACAAGGCTATCTCACTGCCCCTAGTAACCTTAGAATCTTTTTGTTGATATGTTCATAATGATAATCAGTACAAAATTTTGTGAAAAACCTGACACATAAAAGTACAACCTATTATTCATGTGTACTTACATCAAGTAAGTAACATTAAAATATGACACAGATTTGACCAACATTTAGACGGAATTAAAACATTTACTTGAAAATACTGATATGTCAGTGATGATGTCAGCAGAGAATGAGAAAGTAGCATTCATGTTGTCCTTAATTTGTATGACATCTGAACGACTAAATGATAAATGACACAGCTCTAACCTTATGTATGTAACGTTCTTATTCTGAGCAGCAGGGTAACAAATGAACATGCAGTCAGAGCAAGTTCACTCCATTAACAATTATTCCCAGAAATCAGAGCTACAGATAACTTTTTGGGGTCATTGAGTTATGCACTCGTTTGCGTTAATCTCAATTGCGTATCCTAATTTTCCTTTGAGTAATCAAATAAATTGTACTCACGTCACTCAAACTCAATTGGGTATTTTGCCATTTTCCATTAATTGTAAAAAATAATAATGTTTAAATGTTGGTTTACGTGTTATTTATATTTGATCTGTAATATAAGAAACAACAAGAAAGACAGCAAGTTGCCAAGTTCATGTGCCGATATAGAACCTCTCAATATACCTCAGTTATTTTATCTATTTTTGTGTGTACGCATGTAGGATCAAAATTATTGAGTAATTACAAAAATTCAAGCGTACCTGTACGCTTGAAGACTTAATAGAAATTGAGTTTTCACAAAAATATTTGCAAAATTTACGCAGATACGCAGCTCATCTGTACCTCTGAGAAATACATGAATCTATCAATAATATAAATCAGAAAAAAGGGATAGAAATGCAAGGGTGAAACTGGGCACCAGACAGATGAGCCTTTGTGAAAATATGTGTGACCATACCTTTTGATGATCACAACAATTACGTCATTTCAATTTATTGTTTAATAATCAGTAAACCTGTAAATCTGACAGATCGATATCTCTCATGAATGCAGAGTTTTATGTACGCACAAATGTAGAGAATGGATGCACAATATTATTCATTCTACCCACAACACATCTATGACTTTGCTAAGTGTTTGGTTGTTTCTTTCAGAGCAGTTACGTGCATCATTTCATCCATCAGTCCACATGATCAATGATTCATTCCAGGCTCTACAGATATTATCAAAACATACAGTTCTCTACACAGTTACTTCACTTGACCCTTGTATTGCCTGCAAGGACATTAAAACTAATAACTGAGGGTCCCTGGGACCCCCTTGTTTGTGAGTCGAGGTAAAACCCTGAGACAGTAAGAATAGTTCACCTTCATTTCTCCTGACCCATAAACTCACCCACAAACTATGTTATCATCAAAAATCTGATTTCCTGTTATGTGCACAGGAATTCAAAATGGCCAAACCCAAAATATTTCACCTGTGAAATTTCAATATTTACTGTGCAATGGCACGCAAATTATGAAAACGAAAGTAGGGCCCCATAGAATGCTCTGACTTGAGGCCATCTAGACTGGCTAAATCATTCGAGAACTAGACAATCTTGATTTAATTTTTAATTTTTAATCCATCGGTTCTGGGAGATAGACCTCAAGTTTCAGGCCAAGTACTGATTAATATTTCCATGTATTGTTGACTGGAGAGTTTCAGCTTCCAGTTGCGAACATAATATTATCTATTATATATCGGAACATGAAATATGTCAGGGATTTTCTGATAATATTAAAAAAATTCTGGGGAATGATGAAATTCAGTATAAATGTATGCATGAGTCATTGTATATTTTGAGAAGAAAAAACTGTTTCAAGTCCTAGCCAGGGTGTTAGACTGACATACATGGTGAGGACAATAGTATCTGCCCATATTTGTAAAATTGATATTTATCGAGTCATATCTGACGGCAAGAGGAAAATACTGTATATAACTTCTAAAAATGGAAAAGATTAACAACTGACGATATTACTGCATTTTGCTAGTTTGGTTTATTGTGATTTTTTCATGGGTTCAGTTTTGAAGAAAGATCGAATGAGTTTTTAGTTTTACGCTGCTTTTAGACAATGTACCCATGTGGCGAATCGAACCTGGGTCTTCTGCGTTCCGAGCGAACGCTTTAACCACTGGGCTACCCCACAGCCCCTATAAAGAAAGATGTTATTATCAATTTAAGGTGACATGATAACAAATATAGCCAATGTCAACTTAACTGAAACCTTTGGGATAAATGGTAACAATATGTGATTGTTTGGGTTAACACTGACAAGAAGATCTGTAACCATTGACAACGGTGAAACTATATCAGAAGTGGCCTTTGATACCATCTACAATAAACAAACATGACGATGCAAAGTACATTTGAACAGAAGAATATGAGTCTGAATTAGGATAATGTGAGCTTGAAAACAGTTGTTTTGTATCATTTTCACTTTGCTGTACTTTATCGTGATGGAGTCATATTTATCAAGCAAGAAACAGTCTTTTCCATTTCACTCATTTCAATCCACAGCATTTGTGCTGTTATTTTGATATATTGAGATATGTATAGATTTAGCTTGTACACTGAGATGTTTATATCTCAGCCTTAAGGATTGATTCACCTTGGTTAATAAATGTCCTGAAATATCTTTAAAACATAAGCCTACATTATTCTAAAGTTCTGTTGTTCGTGCACTGCAGCCACGTTTCCTTTAGTCAGCTGTGATATTACTGGAATATTGCTAAAAACAGCATAAAACCTCACTCACTCAAAGATAACTGTGAATTCAAAGCATTGAACATGATTTAACCTCTGCATTTGGAAATTCCCACATTTAAATGTAAACTTAGAGGTGGAGTGTTCAAAACTGAACATAGACTATTAGACACACTAAATTATTTTATTTATCATCACAGATAATATCAGTAATATTTTACCTGCATCCTTGGACTAAATGAGCCATATGAATTACCCTGTCATGTTCTTTTCACCCTAAAGCAAGCTATTTGTAGTTATTTTTAAAAATTTAAACTTAAACAGGAAGCAATTCTGTCTAGCCTGTCATAGCCAACCAAAAGGAAAATGTTTACAAGCCACTTCACATCACTGTTCAACCCAGACTGCACCTTACACAACCTGTTTCACAAAGAATGCTCCCTAAGATTGTAAAGAGAGCTTCAAGTTTCTACAGTCTCAATGCACCTTGGTTTCAGTTCAGAGAACATGCAGGCATATCAGTAAGGGATATTGCAAATTCACTTCTGTGAAACCTTACCGACAAAAGTTAATTATTGTCAACATGAACCTGTATCGATAACAACTTCCCTATTGTTTGTATCATCATCTCTGGCATTTTGAACAGCAACAACTCTTGTTCTATTCCTTGTCATGAGCAGATTTGACTATTGCAACTGTCTGTTGGCCGGTGCAACCAAGTCTCAGATACGAAAGCTACAAAGAGTCCAGAATGTAGAAGCCCGCATACGACAGTCTACAGCCCGCATTGTGACAAGATCCAGGAAGTGCTGAAGAAGTTAGGATGACACAAGCATTTACCTCGACTCACAAACATGGAGGTCCCAGTTATTAGTTTGAAGGGTCCTGACAGATAATATGAGAGTCCTGTGAAGTAACTGTGTAGAGAACTGTATGTTTCGATAATTTCTGTAGAGCCTGGAATGAATCATTGATCATGTGGACTGATGGATGAAATGATGCATGTAACTGCTCTGAAAGAAACAACAAAACACTTAGCAAAGTCATAGATGTGTTGTGGGTCCCTCTGGACACATCTAATTTTTTTTTCAGTCAATTCTCTACATGTATGCGTTCAGGACGCACTGGACTTTGTGTAAAACCCTGAATGAAACCGGTTGGATGCGGCCATGCTCTGATAATTACGCAAAAGCCATGTCCCAAGCTGTGTACTGAAACTTGTTACAGTAGTAGAAGTAATCAAATTTCACTTGAACATACTCAGCCCCAAATTGTGTAACCAACGTAACTGCCGGTATAATTTCTGATTCTTGTGATGGTATTTGAATGTAACCAAAGAGGTTAACCCTGACTTGGTATGTGTTGCATGACGTACTGACATTAAAGATTATGAAATTTCAAATACAGTGGAAATCGGTCTAAAAAGGATTGGTGGACAAAAAGTATATTTTCTTTTAGCATGGGTCTGGGATGTGTGAGATTATGGTATAATAATAATGACATGGCTGAAAGAAACATAATTAACTGTAGCAAATTCAGAAGTGTTTACAAATGTTTGTAAGATTGGCAGGAAATCAAGACCTGTCTGTCTGAGACTGATTGGACAAGGTGAACTGTGTAGTTTTCCCCCCAATTGTTTCCTGGCTATTAGGCCTATACTTAATTATACAAATATTAGATTATGGCCATATATATATATATATATACAGGTGGTATTATAACATGAATACGATGACATATATGGACTGGCATCAATACAAAGACTATGTGAGTAGTGTGACCAAGAGTTTCACATTCAGATAGTGAAATATCTAGTTCATTTGCAAATTCGTTATGCTAATCATGTTATTGTGAAATGTCATCAAGTAAAGCATCTGCTCTAATGTGTTTAGGTGACTAATTTAGTCCAGTTGTGACTTATGAACACATGGAATCAGATTATTTAGTTATTTTGAAATAACTTGGCACATACAACCGGATATGCACTCGTGATTCACGACCAAGGAAAGAAAATGGCCGAAACGAAGGCAGCCATCATGTTTGGGAGCAAACAAAGCCATAAACAGCGATTCATCTGAAG